AGAAACGACGCTTGCGAAGAGTATATAAGCGCACGTCGCAAGATATTTGTGATTGGTGATATTCGTGATTAGTGATATTCGTGATTAGTGATATTCGTGATTGGTGATATTCGTGATTAGTGATATTCGTGATTAGTGATATTCGTGATTAGTGATATTCGTGATTAGTGAAATTCGTGATTTTGTGAATAGCGATTCGGTGAATTATTTAAAGCGATATTTGAATTGTTTGTTGACGTTGTCATAGCGATAGATTTTGAATGATTTAAAAGTTAATTGTTGCGTTAGTGCGAATTTACTGGAAATATACGATTAGTTGATTTCTTCTGTAAGTAAAGTTTAATAACTAATAATAGTTGATTTCTTCTGTAAATAAAGTTTAATAGCTGTTTGGAGTATTTTATTCAATCGAAGATTTGAACCCGTCGCATCGTAAACCGGTTACGACAGCGAGTATTATAACAATATAATAGTTTATTGAAAATGGCACTGGAATCAGAGAAATCGGATACTTTTCAAGTGATTCTCAACAGCATCTTCAACAATCCAGCCATGGCAGACGTTCAGTGGAACTTCACAACAAAAAATTGGGAACAGATAAGAAAAAAGTGTTCATTGTTGTTGTTTGGTTGTTTTTTGTCAGGTTGTTTGTCGTTTTTAATGTTGCTGCTTCAAAAACTATTAAAATTTTGTTTGTATTAGCTTTTGTTGTGTTTCGTTGACCCAGTGAAATGTGTTATTTTTCTAATGTTATTTTTATTGCCAAGAGGAAACTAAAAATTTTTTATTATCCATGATTTTTTTAAAAGTCAGCCTCAAACTGAGTAGCGGTAAATTGAGTGAAAAATTTGTTTTTCGGGGAACATAGATACTTACAAAAAGATATACATTGAAAATTAATTAATAATTTTTTTTATTATCAACGTTTTTGAGATAAGAATGAGATTAAAATGTTAGTTCTTTTTGAAAGATAAAGTTAATTTTTGCCTTCACACTTTACATAATTACGCAAACAAAAAACTGACTTGTTAGGAATTACTTTGCATCAAAGTATAATTAACATCCAATGAGATAATTGACTTTTAAGTAATAATTGAGTTCAAAATGATAAATTGACATCCAAAGTAATAATGGTGACGCAAAGTGATAATTGACATCCAAAGTAATAATAGTGACGCAAAGTGATTATTTACATCCAATGTTATAATTGATATGCTAAGTGAATGTTGAGACAAGGAGATTTATTAACATTTGCCTATATAAAAATGAAGGATTTGACAGGCATGTCGAGAACCTATATAAGTAAATACGTTTCTTCATATTTACAACACTTTCAGCTGAATCAAGAACGATCACCAACATTCACAACAGTCTGCGGTTTCATTTAGATTCAGTGTCAAATTCTTGAGTTTAAGGCGTGAAATAAAATTTATAAAGAGTTATTTTTCATTTAGTAAAAATATTTATAATTATCATTTCATTTTCTACTACTACTAAAAATGTCAGCCAACAAAGAAGTTAAAAACAACGTCGTTATCAGTCAATCGACTTCAAGTTCAGGCAATGAAACGGAATTGCGGCAAACAGAATTCAATGATCTTATGAACTTTTTAGACCATGAAATTGGAGATGAAAAAGTAGAACTAGAAGATGAAAACGCATTTTCAGAAGATAGCGAATTAGCAGAAATGAAAAAATTGATTGAAGAAACAAAAAAAGAAATAGAGCAAAAACAAAAAATTGGAAACCAAGTAAACAAACAATTGAACACTGTGCCAAGTAATCCGGCGATAACATTTGCAACAATTGCGACACCAAATCTTTCAACTGCAACGTCAATCGCAACCATTGCCGCTGGTTCAACTAAAATTGCTACTCCAATACCTGAAGTCATCTCTTCAGCTGCAGAAATCGATGCAAAGTCGATCTGGGTTGGAAATGTCGACTACGGAACCAGCGTTTATGAGTTGGAAGAGCATTTCAAAAACTGCGGGGCAATCGTCAGAGCCACAATTCTGCACGATAAATACAGCGGCAAGCCGAAAGGTTTTGCCTACGTTGAGTTTGTGAACGCCTGCTCTGTGGAGCTCGCACAGACTCTCAACGAGACAATCCTGCGTGGAAGACAGATAAAGATAACAGCGAAGAGGGTCAACATTCACGGACTGACAACGACCAACGGGAGATGCAGAGGAGGAGGCGAGAGAAGAAAAGCAGGAAGTGCTACAGGAAGAGGAAGAAGTCGGTATGCATATGACGTGGCAGCAGATGCCGCGAGATTTGCAACACATGCACAACATCAATTCCCAGCAGGCCGGGGTGTGGGTCGCGGAAGGTCATGGAGGACATCTCGTCACACCCCTTACTAGAAAAATGTCATGGGTTCATCCACCAAACTAACGATCGGCAATTAATTAAACCTGTAAATTACAGGATTTTATTTCTTCATTTTTAACATTGCCATTATTTTTTTCGTGAAATTTCAGCTTAAAAGCGTTATTATAGCTTTTTGTCTGAAAGCTTATTTATGACTTTTATTGACTTTATGACTTTCACGATAATGTTTATTTCTTGATTTTAACTAAAAATAAAAGACTTTTTTCTATAAATACATGAGAGTTGTAGTAATAGTGGAAATGTAGTAAAAGATTAGTAGTAGCTGTAGCAGTATTGGTGTCATTAAAATTTTAATAAATATGATAATTATTATATCATTAATTAATTAGTATATTAATTGAACCAAGCAATCGTTAATTCCTGGACCATTAAATTTAATTAATTTAAAGCACTTTTTAAAAGTTCACCAATGCTCGTCTACAGATATATTGTTGTTCAAGTAATTGATGTGAGTTAATTATCATTCAAGTATTAATTGTTAGGCTAAAACCCGATTTAAATATATTTGCACAATTCAAATTAATAACTAATTTCACTAATTTACCAAAAAAAATAACAAGTATAATAATAAATCACGTTTTTTCCTTGACAACGGAAGAAGAGTGTGTTAAAAAAAATGGTTGGTCGATTTATTGGTAAGAACAGTTATAAACTGGATTCAATTTGATCTGATAACAAAAATATCGATTGTCATTTTGGCAAATACATTGAATATTTTTGCAAAAAAATTATATTTATAAGTAATATTAACAACAAATGATTGGATGTACAGCACATATAACATTCAGATAATTCCATTCTTAATTCAATTTTAGTTTTTTTTAATTTAGGAGCATTGATGAATACAAATAAATTTCATGTAAATTTTTAGGGCAAATGTTTTTTGCAGCTTAGATAAGGGACAATTTGATTGAGTGATTGATTGTTGGTTGATTGTTTTCTTTGTTCATTCGTTCGTTCATTCATTCTTTTTGTTCCACAATCTCCGAATAAACGTTTCTAACAATTTCTGACAGCCTTTCCATAACTGGGAACACCACATTTCAACATTTTAGGAAACTCAAAACGAAAAATTGCAGAAACACGAACTGTTTAACATTTGAATGTGTTCGATGCTCAAACATTTCGCTGTACATTGCTTTGTGAAGTCCATTGTTTGTATATTCTTTTGTTTGTTTGTTCGTTCATCTACTTGTTCTTTTTTCATTTTCATCAATATTTTTATTATTTCTTTTCATCTATTCATTCATTAATTCATTTTTTAAATAACTTCAGTGTTTTATTTTTTTTTAATATTATAGTTTGTCAAGTAAATATTTGTAAATGGTGCAATAAATCATTTTCAAAAAGAAAAAAGAATGATCAAACAAAAAAAAAATTTTTAAAAATAATTAAAAGAATAATTTTAAAAATATTTAAATGAATAATTAAAAGAATAATTAAAAAATATTTCAAAAAACAATTAGAAAAATAGTTGAAAAATATCAATAAATTAAAAAAATGAACAAAAAATAATACAAAAATAATTTTATGGTCCGAAATGCAAATAAAACAGTTTTACCTGCCTTTAGAAAAAGAAATATCGGCTATAGACAATGCATAATGAATTTCGTTCCATCGAATATTTCTCGCTAATTTATGGTTTAACGATTTTTCATTGTTAGAAAAATATCTATGCAATATAGGCTGCACGTTTCCATAAATTCAACAAATGTAAGCTAATTTAGTAATATCCTAATAACTTTAAATATGATTTTTAAATGTTTGTAAAAGTAAATGAATTAATTAAAATAAAATCAACATTTTCAGTTTCAGAAACATAATTCTAAATTTTATAAAAGTTGTTTACCTAAATTTAAATGAAACCACAGTGTTATAAATTGTTTTAGACGATGAAAACAATCGGAATAATACTTTTACTCATACTTCTAGAAAAAACTTCTGCAATATTCGTTCCAGTTTTCAGTTCATTCGGTTTAAGAACGTGTACACTTGGTGCTGCTGATCTGGAGTATATCTATTCCTATGATTCGCACATCAAATGTGTGACTGCGTGTTCAGCGGTGGTCAGCTGCGTTGGCTGCTCCTACCATCGCGACACAAAAACTTGCCAGCTGTTTAAAGCGAGGTCTAAAATGGCTATAACGCATGATATCAAGGATCTCTGTGTATACTTCGAGGTTGGTTATAATAAAAATAGAAAACGAATCATTCTTTTGTCAAAACAACAATCAACAATTTGTTCAAAATTTTGATCAGAAATCAGGAAGCCAAATGAAGCACGATGGTAATTTTTTGGTTTTTATTTGAAGTTGGATATTTTGTTGATATTAAAAATAGTTACAAATCAGTATAGTCAGTTTTTAAAAATTCGCATTTCATCACATTCTAAAATGTCTTGTGAGTCAAAAGTTCAGAGATGGAATAGAAATAAAATAGGTCTACAGTTAACAATATCCGATCAAGTAATCTATCTATTCATTATTTTTACGTCCAAATGAGGCACATTTAGTATCATACTCTCGTACATGTTAATCTATTCATTTGTTAAACTGTGTTATTATATTCGTTTAAAAGGGATATCATAAAAATTGAAATTGGTTTTTAATGAGAAAAGTTTGTTGCAACAGAACTAACGGGTCAGTTCATCGGATGTTACGGAGATGGCATACCGCGGGATTTGAATGGATTTTCCATGCATTCAGGTGTCCTGACGCCGTCATTGTGCTGGAAAATTTGCATCACTGCCGGCAACACATTCTTTGGAGTGCAAGTCAGTAGAGAAAGATTGTAATTGATCAATTATTCAGCCAATTAAAATAATTCATGAAAGATTTTAATAATTATTAAGCTACTAAATAATTTTTTTAACTATAGAATTACTACGAATGTTACTGCGGTAACTCTTACGGTTTGTATGGACCTACCCCTGGCACCTGCACTTCCAAATGCACCGGTGATTCAGCTGAAATCTGTGGTGGATACTCTAAAAATTCCGTATACAGTGGTGGGTAATCAAGTTTTTTTCCAGTGATTTTCCATCAAAAATTATTTTATGGAAAATTTTTAGTAAATCTCCAAAATTCTAATAAGTAAAAGTTTATTTAGTATTGTTTTATGCATTTAGGAGATTTTTCAATTTTGTTAGTCCACTCGTAACAATGTTCGGATTATAGAAAAGTTTAATAAATTCAACTAATTCAATTTTAATAACTAGATACAATAAATTTTTATATTTGAAATGGATGAGACAAAAGCTTCAGCAATAATAACTCACTCAACGACAGTCTGCAGTAGAGGAATGTACGGAACAAACTGCAGCCTGAAATGTGGATGTAGTGATGGAGGCTTATGCATGCGACAAAATGGCACGTGTATCAAATGACTAATTGAAATTCCATCAGACTCTATTCACATTGTTTTTATTTTATTTTACATTTTAAACATTTAATTCTGGTAATTTGAAATGTTGAAACTTTTATTTATTCAATTATTTTATTTATACTTCTAGTTTTTTAGAAAAAGTGTGAACAAACACACAGCGCAATGTGAATATGCGCTAATCATGTCTGGAGTCTTTCTGTTGTATTCGAAGCCAGTCTCTGCCACATCGGTAAGTGACAGGCACCATCAACCATTACGCCATCTCATTATTTATCAATTTTTTGTTTTTATTGCTATAATTGTTACCGCTAACATGGCTGTATTAGTGTCAATTTGTCGTATGTTGTGTTAAAATTTATAAAAATATTTTCTTTCTTATGATAAAATAATTGAAGCAAACGGTAGATTTGAAAATTTTGACTTTAAAAAACAAAAATGTTTCACTTGAAGTGAAATATTGTTGATTTAAATATTCACAGTTGGCTAATTTCAAATTTTTTAATATCATCATGGTAAATTGATTGGTTATAAACTGGATTCAATTTGATCTAATGACAAAAATATCGACATCGCCAATAAGGATTATACATTGAATAATTTTGCAACGTATATGGCCTCATCCATCTTCGTATAGATGGAGTCGGTGGTTGAGACGTCTGTTGTTTGCTTTATGGCAATTACAGACTGCGAAAATGTTTTTCGGATCGCTTTTCGCCAAGAGTATGTTAATTAAATTCTATTGCCAATGTTGCTTAAGTTTCATTGTCGACCGAAAAGCTCAAGCCAATGGTAAGACGTTTACATGGTTAATAACCGAAAATGCTGCCACAAGCAAGCATGTCAAAGTGTTTGATGCAATAACTTCCAAGTGGTCACGGGTTAGACTGATCTTTTCAAAATGTTTTCAAACTGTTTTCATGAAGATGAGAAAGATTTTTCACTATGTCCACTTTTGTTTTCTCTAGACTTTACCTCTAAAACCACTCGACTCAATTTTTCGGAAGTTTCGAGACGGGTTTTGTGACCTACTTATTCACTAAGTTCGTATAATCAGTAAACACACACAGACGCAAACATGCACCTGCACACCGAACAAAAACACGCACGCGCAGTTGAAAAACCTATTGGCCAGCCAGATGAACATTAACTGGAAGAAAAAGTCTCGGGAAGAACTTGTTAGCTGGTTGCAAGCTCTGTCTCCGCTAAAATAGTTTAGCTGGTTTTTATTTACTCTCAAAAAAACGTTTTTATTTTAGATACTAATTAAAATGTTTTTAATGGTTAATTATTCCAGCCTAATTTTGTATAAATAATTTTTTATATTTTATATTTAAATGAGTATTCATAGTTCTTCACGTTTTAACTATCTCTTAATAAGTTTTTGCTAAAAAAGTTGTTGAATAATTGGTGTCTCAAATCAAACCTTCCCTATTTTTTAACAACTCAGGACTTCTCGTTAAGTGAGTGGGACGTACTTGAATGTTTCTAACAAACTTGCTTTTGCGAAAATATTGAAAATTTATTGTGATTAATAAAACTAATTTCATTTTTAGTTAGTGGCGTCTACTGGCATTTCAATTCATTAAAAAAAATTAGTAACGATTTATGTGTTTTAGTTTCATTTTAAAATAATTTCAGACTGTGTGCCTGTGGGATAAGTGCAAATGAAGTTTTTTTAATATTTTCAAATATAGTTTAAAATTTATCTGTTCATAAAAACAGTAACAATACATTAATTTTTCTAAAAAGAAAAAGCATAAAATCAATCACATAAATTTACACCGCCGAGGACTTATCGTATATTTCACTTAGTTTGAAAATGCGAAAATTATGAAGATTTTTTTCATTAACTTTGTAAATTTCAATTTGATAAAAGTTTAAAGAGCATTAATTAATTAACTAATTAACGTTTTACAACTATCTCATTAGCATTTCAAATGTTTCAGCAGCAAACACACAGCGCATGCAACTAAAGCATCACGTGGAACTCATGTGATAGGAGGGATTTCTCCGCATTCAGGCCCATTATTAAATTTTGATTTTAGCATTCTTAAATCATGTGAAAATCAATTTTATTACAGTTTTTAAAATTCTCAAATTCTAAATCTAAATTTTTTTTAACTTTTTGGACAGAAAAGAAAAAATTCTTTATAGATGGGTGACATACTCCTACTACACTGAATGTGAACTTAGTATTTACAACTTGCCTTGTTAGTTTCAACCTTCTATGCTTTGTTAGCAACAGTTCATTTTCAGTTCAGCATGAATTAAAGAAACAAAGTTTTACAATGAAAATAGAGTTCTTTATAACGAGTTCAGGTTTAAACAAAGACATAATCTCTAGCACGATGGTTTTATTTTTGTTGCGTTGTAAGGATGGAACAAACTACTTTACCACAGACACCAAACCTATATATATATATATGTACATTCGTCAGGGTTTTCATATCTCGAGTTTTCAGACAAATCGTTTATAATCATAACCAATTGGGTATACTTTATTATTTATTTTTAAAAATGGCATCAAATATTGAAAGAAATGAGAACAAAGTAATACAGAAGTTCTCTGATTTGTATCAGGTCACTGACGAATTCCTTGGTGAAGGTACTTTTGGAACAGTCAAAACATATTTCTCTGTTAACGATAAACAAGAAGTTGCCGTCAAAACGATAGCTGCAACAAATTTTAAAAAGATTTCTAAAGTTATGAAAGAGATTGAGATTCTAAGAAACTGTAAAGGAGAAGATAACATAATTCAACTCCTGAATGTTTTTGAAGAAGGCAAACTGTTCCATCTCATCTTTGAGAAAATGGATGGGAATTTGATGGAGTACTTAGAATTTAATGGTCCGTTATGTGAAATGGAAGTAACAAAAGTAATCCGATGTGTGGCAGGCTCCTTACAATATTTGCATGAACGTGGAGTGATACATAGAGACATCAAACCACAAAATATACTTTTTACAATAAACGATGCAATCAAACTGCAAAAAATAAAACTCTCGGATTTTGATTTGAGCACCAAGTGGAAAGGAATAACAGCTAGTAAAAATTTATCGTTGGCAGACCAAGTAGATGGTGAAATTCTTGCAACATCTTTAGTTGGGACGTTGAGCTATATGGCTCCAGAGGTGGCCAGTGTTTGGATTCATAAAGGTGGTCAATACGACAAAAAATGCGACATCTGGAGTTTGGGAGTAGTCATGTTTTTGTTGATATCTAGACAAGCGCCGATAGTTATGGGTAAAGCAAAAGACTGTTTTTGCACGGAACCTGAAAATGTCTTTATTTGTAACTCTTGCGTAGTTGAATTTTACAACCAAATGAAAAAATGCAATTACAACATGTCAGGTCAGGAATGGTCAACAGTATCTCAGAACGCAAAAAATCTCATCTCGAATTTGTTGGTTGTTGACCCAAAAATGAGGTTCGGGGCGGAAGATGTTCTAAAGCATTCATGGATTGATAATCATCAACATCCGCTTTTTTCTGTAAATTAATAATGTGCATTTTCAGTATTTTCGTATATTTTTTAACAATTATTTGGTTTCGTTTTCTGTTTTTCATTATTTACTTCTTCTTGTTTGATTATTTAAACTTTTAACTTTTTTATGATAATTAAGTGGATTTTATTGAAAAAATAAAAAAGTTTATCTTTTTAAAAAGTCCATATTTTAATTTAAAATAAAAACTATGTGGTACCTTTGGGTTTTAGGAGTTTGCTTAGTCGTAACACAGTCATTATTCTTATCTATATCAAATTATCAGTTTCCAATTTTTTAATTTATTTTTTAAATCGTTACCTTTGTTTTCTGCTGGAATTTCTTCTATCGAGAATTTATTGAAAAAGTTACACGAAACAACTTGTTGGCAGGTAAAAACGATTGCGCTCAACCTAAAAATTCACACCTGTCCTAAGTAGGATTGTCGTGATTCATTTATATAGCGAGGTCAAAAATATTTTATGGTCTACGTTGTTTTCAAGTGCTATAGTTCAATACCTACACTGAAAATTTGTTAGTAGTTACAATCTTGACAGTACAATTCGAATTAACCAGTTGAAATAAGTCGAATACAGTTTCAATTACAATAAAATATTTAACAAATATATTTCGTTACCCACTGCCAACATTGTTAATCTTTTGAAGTTCAAATAATAAATTTAATTTATATATTAACTTTATTGAATTTTCATTTTTGTTTAAATAATGTCCAAGCAAGCTATTCATGAGCAAGAAGCCAACTGAAAAGCCTTCCTCGATGTTTGGCGTTCCAGGCAATGTTCATCTGGACAGGATCCAAGAGATGTATGTGCGTGCGATCATCATCCGGCATGTGCTTCTCTAGGAAGGTTTTCAACTGCATGCATAATTTGGGAACTTAATTGATGACTTATTTATAAAATGGGACCAAAGGCTTAAAATCTGAAGTTACATTTGAATTATTATTATTTATTCCATCATTTACTTTAAGTTTATAAACAAATGTATACTTAAGAAACAGTGTAAAATGAATAAAACTATATTCTGCAAAACACGTCTTAATCACTGCACAATATCGTCACAAACTAGGCAAGATAGTCTAGTAGCGTGTGGTGGTGCTGCTTTTGCAAATGATGTTTGAGTGGCGTGGCTATTGCAAGAAAGCTTTCACATCGATGTAAAGATTATTCATCGGTGAATTATTTTGTAATGCCATAGTTCTATAAAAAAGCACAAAATACTGTTCACTCGCCTCATCGTAATGTTCCTCGGTGTATAAATGGTCTGCTATAGATTTCAATATTGATTTCAGTGCCTCTTGGTCACCCTGCAATCTGTGTGTGTGTTTGCGTTCTGGTTGCTACTTTTAACAGAAGTAACCAATTTAAATATCGTATAGTTCTTCTTACGATTTTTTCAAACTATATCATAAAACTTAATTTACCTGTTGAGAAAATTGAAAATGAAATAAACTTTTCTCAGAAATGACTGATTTTGTAGTAAGTTGAAAACAACTAGCTGGGAGTTTTTAAAAGAATTGCGTAACAGAAAAATTTTTAGTTGTAAAAAATTTTACGTCGTGTTACTTGGAAATTGGCGTTGTTTTGAATTGGTGACAGTTCTCGTAACATCATAAAAAAACAACTGCCCCAACCACAGCATTAATAAACCTCTTATTTATCAGATCCCAGTTGTTTCTGACAAAATCCCACTCCACATCCACCATTGAAGGACTGTTTTCAACGTTACTGAGAACTGCAAGCAGTTCATCATCGTTGAACGAGTCCAAGGACAATTCTAACAAACTGGTGGTTGGTTGTGATTCATTCAAAGTGATTCAAACGTTAATTATAAAACATCTATATTAAAAAACCACTACTCACACGCACGCACACACACAAGCACACGCACATACATTCACAGACAAACATACACCCATATGGCATATCATTAACAATTTCATAGTTTACTGCAAGATTGTATGTTTAAAATCTGGAAAACATGAAAATAAATTGAATAAAAGGTTTAACAACGTCATAGAACAATTCACCGCTACATCTATTTGCAAAAAACTTTCAACAAACCACCACCAACTTGACAACATCAGTCACCACACAGCGTCAACGCCACTGACATACATACATACGTTCTGAATCTCGATTCATTCTTGGTGAAACTGAGGGCCGACAACATAGTTTCCCTCTTGGATGTTGAAGTGTTGGCTGCATTCATCACGTAGTCCCATTCTTTCTGTCCTCCGTATCTCACCGCGTAACTATAAATCGTTGGCTCTACGTTTGGTGTCAATCTGGTTTACATGGAATCAAATGTTTTTCCAAAATTTTTATTAAAATTAAAAACAAAATTCTGATTAGGAGAAATGTATCAATTTTGTTTCCGCCAATACCACAATAAAACCATCGTTAGATTCATTTTTGTGAAACCACCATCAAGATATTCATCCTGGACATCAACACACAACACAATCCTCATCAATCACCACCCGCACCACCACAACTAACGTCTTTGACCCATCAACGACCATCTGGAACGTCTGCCTCACCCAGTTCACGTACTCTGGAATTTCCACTTTGACGGCGAATGAAATCATCCTTCTACTTAGAAATCTGCCAGTCGTTTCAGAGAAAATGAACTAAAAAATGGCTCAATTTAATATGATTATACCATGCCAGCTATGCAAATTTCTAACTTTGTATGGAAGTTTCCGACCTCTGCCCAGCCCAGCTTAACCAAAAGTGGTGTCATCATCTTCTTTATGACATTCTTTGCGTATTATTGTTTTTTAAACATTTTCAAATTTGATTTTTCTAAATTTTTTGTATAAATATTTACATTATTACTTTTGTGAAATTAATCCAGACCCATTGAATAGCGTTTTCAAGCAACATTTTAAAACTTTATTCGTACATTATACGCAAATCTAGCATGCGATTGGAAGAAATCTTTTGCAATACACAGAAATCCAAGCGAGTCACACACACGCACGCATTGCACGTGACATATTGAGGCACATTAGCGTTTGAAATCGGTCACTGCAACAGTGGAGCCTGCTACTTGGACCACTACACCGGTATGATGGTCTAATGGTTAACCTGGTGCAGTTTCGCAGTAACCGGGTTTGAATATGACGAAAAGATCCCCGCCTATCACGTGCTTCGTGTGTGATGCGTCGTTTAGCATGTATTCATAGACGATGTCTGTGCGCTTTGTTGAATCCTCTGAACTTTGGAAGAGAGTAATTGACCTTTAACCGTTTTATTTGACCTATACACCGTCCCACCGCCAAAATTACCAATGTTTCTTAAATTAAACTTTTAGTATTTTCAATTATTCAAAAAAAATACTATATTATTATAAATTATATTTTTGAGCATTCATTTAAAACGTTTTCTCAAATTTCGCCGTAGAAGTAATAAAAAAACCTTTAAGATGTGGTAGTGAGGATGTCCTGAGTATAGGTTCACAATGACCTTCAACTTATTCAGCGCAATCATCCAGGGAAAGGGGTTCTCTTCCTCCTCGATGTAGAGTAGAAGGTTGAAGGCTTTGTCCAGTGTCACATGTCCAGAGCTGTGAAGTGATTATGGAAATGATGATGGATAGGACGAGACAGCTAAATCATTAATTACGCATAAAATTGATATTGGCCTATGGTTTCCATTTTATAACTTTTCGATAGTGAATCATACAACACAGTCATTGCACTTTCTGTTTAAGATGAGGATGATGATGACTATAGTGAGAATATTAAAGATGTTTTTGAAAAAAGAACGTGATTGAGATGACTAAAAAGAAATTTAATAAAACATAATCGATAATTTTTAAGATAAAAATTCACGACACTAATAAAACGAATAACAGCGATTATGATGACTTTGACGAGAATATGAATATAAAAAATGATGACCTGACTAGAAAAAATATATCATCTGTCAAGTTGCCTCTGTCTGTTGGACTGAAAACCTAAAATTGATGGCGGTGAAGATAATGGTGCTGGTAATTATGGTGACGATGGTGAACCTAATTATCATCAATGTGATGATGACGATGATGATGACGATGAAAGTTGAAATAGACGAAACTGTACCGTATAAGGCTCTCGGGTTTTTATGTTAGCAATCAGGGTTGCGGTTGCGTGCTTTAAAAAATTGTCTTTTAATAATTTGCTTAGAACTGAAACTTTTAACTACATTAACCTAAACCTTAATTGTTATTTTCTAAATTCTTTAGTTACCATAATGAAGAGAAGTAAATTATTACCGTGTGATCCTTTTTAAGCTGGTCAATTATGTTTTTCCAGCCTTCTTCGCCATAATGCACCCTGTAGAATCCTTTTAAAATTTTGTCCTTAACAATATTGACGAAAGAATAACAATAGATTGATATGAGCTGTCTTGACTATTTGATAGATTAATTCATTTGTTCATAGTCAAAACGCATCATCATCATCTTCGTCAACAACAACAACATAATCATCATCATCCTCATCACCATCTTCATAATTTCACCTGTCATGTTGGAGTTCGCTTTCAGCCATTCAACGTTCTCGGGCAGGTCAAATTGTGCTGCGGAACCAAATGGACGAGTGAGTAAATGTGTCATTGAACAATCGAAGGAACGAACGAATGAATGAATAAACAAATGATTAAATTATTATTATTATGTGTTCGCCTTATCTCTAAATGTGACTACGCATAGGCAAACGTACAATCAACCGTAATTGTGGTTACGATCACCTCCACAAACATCTTCACCATCACCAGCAATTTCTCTTCCTCACCACAACTCACCTGTCTTGTTCTTCATGATGACAACTGAAGCAACAGACGGATCTCTGCTAGTGTAGTACGCCAGGGGTATGAGCCACGTGTAATTTCTGAAAAGCCATGCTCGAATGATTCCAAAGTGTCACAGGCACGTATGATGATTTGAGCGTATTTTATGTATGGAACATTAAAATTATGGTAAGCACACAAAATTTGAAAATTCTCACAACTGCTTTTTTCTACTCTTAATGATAATTAAATGAAAAGTCTCAAAGGTTGAGGATTTACTGGTACAAACTTGAACTTTGAACTTTCAATTTGGTAATCCCTCATCGTCAAATGATCGATGACGACAAATCTCTCCTGATGACATGTAACGTGACGTCCATCTCTAATGACGGTGACCAGGGGCAAACCTATTTGATGCGTCCACGTCTCCATCATTTCCGGCACGTTAATGGAGTGACCGTCAGTTGGCTGGGTTTCGGGTGAAAATGTCAAAATTTTGAAAAATTTTTATACTCTCTGTCAAAATACAAAACGCAAGCTTATTAAAAATCTGTGAGGACAAAACAAAACAACGTGTAATGACAAAAATTACGTAAAGTTTTTACGACCTGCTTAGAAAATGCTAGCCACAGATTATTTCTGTTAGATGTAGCAAACATGTGCTTAACGAGATAGTCATGGATGGCTTTGTTGAAAACATCAGTACCTATCACATTTTCTAACATTTGAAATAATGAGGCAGCCTATGAATAAAATAAAAATTTTTTTATTTTCAAAGTTGTAATTCGTTCCAAATTTTTAAAAATTCATCGTAAATTTTTGAATTTATCACCATCAATTTTGTCATAAAGTTTATTCATCAAACTACACTCCTTTATATAATTATATTCATTGCTATTTTAAATCTACTTTGAAATGTAACAATTTTTTTAATTTTTTTTGACAAATGGTGCCGCATCTTTCAAAACGCCAAACGATATCCCATGGAGTTTATTCTAAACAAGTTTCGGAAAATCAGCGTAATAGCATCACAACGTTGCAAATTTTGTAGAAAGCTTTCTTCTCAAAGACATTTAAGTTTCTTGGATCGGTCACAGGATTAACTACTGAATAAGAAGAAGAGTCGAAGGAGTTTTCCGCCATGGCAGATGCCACCACGTCAAATGAAAATGCTTCCGCCTGTAACAAAAATAACCTGACTAATCGATTTAATGATAAATTTAGAGCAACTTTTCAAAAATATTTAAAATATTTTGTTAAAAAAATTGTTATCTATAAGAAATGTTACAGCAAAACTGACCGTAGGCCATTCCGGAATGATTTCTTTAAACACACCGAACACGACATATGTGATGAATCCTTCGTTTAACAACAAATCGTCCCACCATTCCAACATTACCAGGTTACCAAACCACTAAAATAATTCATGTTTGAACGTACATTTTTAAACTTTATTTTTCTATGCATTCGTAATATAAATAATTATTTTTCTGAATAACATTTTTAAAATCTCGTAAAAACTTTTAGACTAAATTGTATATGCTGGTATAACATACGATTAGTATCAGCGGTTTAATGATAGGCGTAACAGTAACAACTCGACGAGATATTACTTACTTGGTGAGCAACTTCGCGGGCCACTAAGGAAACAAGATAACTTTTTTCCTGGTCCGATTTCTCATCTTCATTGAAGAATATATAATTTGAGTGATACGTTATCAGACCGCGACTGCCCAAACCATCTGTATACATTTCAGGAAGGGCTATGGTGTCTGTGGAATGATTGTGTGGACGTTTCTTTGATGCGGGAAGGTCGTTTGATTCATGTATTTTTCAAAATGTATGTTGGAATTAATTTAGATTTTTATAAATATTTATTTCAATAAACGTTTTAATACGATGATAAATTTAATTTGTGACTACACGAAATGTAAACTTGGAACAGTTAATGAAAACGTATAAAAGCGACCCAGTTTTTCGTAAAGATATGACATCCCAAAGAGTTTTTCAAAATAATGAAGCGATCTAATGGTTGTATTAAGGGCAAGATCCATTTCTTTGAAAGTGTCTGGTTGCGTGTAGACTGAAATCTGAAAAGTTAGAAATGAAAAACAAATGTGAAAAAATATTTAATTAATAAGAAAAATAAATTGCAAAAAAAGAACAATTTGAAACAAATTAATATTTAAACAAATTTCATTACTCCTACAATATTTCCAACAACACACACCCATCCTACTAACATTAACTCCACTTTTAATCATTTGAGATTTGGAGGAAAAGTCGCAGACGACAAAGGCCAGCATGTACGTACTCATCTTCCGAGTTGCTACAAAGCTGTCACACGTTTCTGTGCCGGTTGTTATCCACGATGAATTCTGAATAGGAAATTTTTATTTTCAACAATTCATCAGAAACGTAATTCTTTCAAGTTAGGCTAACAGACCAATTTTGTGTTAAATAACGAGATGTAGTCATTTGGTCTGATGATGTAAAATTTGAAGGTGGCCTTCATGTGAGGTTCATCAAAACATGGAAATGCTGATCTTGCTTCAGTTGGTTGAAACTGTGTGGCAGATAAATATCTGCAGTATCTCATCATTCAAATTATAACTTACGTAGATGATATGATTATGTGGATAACTTTTAATAGCGAAAAAAAAATACAAAAACAGAACGAGAAGAGTAAAACAGGCAACAGCGGACCTCACGACATTATTTTTCTTGTTCGTGTAGGAACTTTTGTAAAACCCCAACATATCATCTCTTAAAACTCCACTAAACGATACATTGATGACGACGGTGTCATGCTTCATTATGGAAGTATCTAGCTTTATCTGCAACTGCTCCAGGTTTTCGTAAATTTTACAATTTGTTACCGTCAACTTACTTCTTGGTACTGTTACGCTAACATTGGAGATTGAAAGATTTTTTGCGTGCATGATGATGTAGTCAGTCTCTTCACTCGCTACCACCTCAATATTTGACCAACCGCTGAAAGTGAAGTTTTTAAAATCTGGATGAATGAGAACACTGTAGGTGTCGGGAATCAAACTTTGTGGCAATCTCACATCATTCCAACGATACTCAGGTTTTTTTAAGGTACGGCATCTTGTATTGACATGGTCGGTGTCTTTCTGAGCCAAAGCAGTGATCGAGAAAACTGCAAATAAGTTGGTAAAAGTTGTAACAACTATTTGAACTGCTTTCATTTGGTCTGCGTGTATACGTCTGGATGTTTGTAAAAACTTCTATTAAAAGTTCCTGGTAAACGATGATTCAATATTTTTTTAGGTTTAGCGTTATTGTAAGGATGAGTTATAAATGTTATCAAGATAAAAAATATCTTACAACTCAATCCGAATTAAAAAACATTTTCTAAATTATTATTTAAATTGAACACAGTTTAAAAATAAATGATCGAAAAAACAATAAGTTCTTTTATAGGTTCATTAAAGTGCATCACGATGAAATTATTGAACTGGGCTGAATTGAACGAAACGTTGACTTTGTTGCGCGTAAAAATATTTGAATGTTTGATTATGAAAGAAATTGATTATTAAAGGATGAACCAACATAAGATTTCTGTAGCTTAACAAGTCAATAAAATAATAATTGGCTAAGCATCGACATTATACATCTGGATTTCATCACCGATATTTTTTCTTTTCAAACAATTATTTTAAATTTCTTCGAAAAATTGCTTCTTTTGAGCAATTGATCGTTGTAGTTCACAGTCTTTGGACAACAGAAAAGGTATGGGTTCATTTTCAAACATTTCTTTTTCAAAAACAGTTACAATTTTCAATTAGTATCACCAAAAATAATAAGTTAAATGTTAAATATTGTTAAAAATATAATTAAAAAGAAGGCTGTTTTAAGCTTAATGATATTCTCTAACAATACTTCAATTTGTGCCCAATACTTCAGATTGTTGAAAACAAAATAATTTTGTTCATTGACTTAACAAAGTTTTTAAGTTTAAACATTTTTCAAAAATTTGTTAAAATTTTAAACTAGCGAACATTTGAACATTTTTATAATTCTTTATAATGCAACTCTATCAAACGCAGAACCGCACTTACATGTTATTTTGCATGCTAACTTGCAAAGAAAAACGAAAAAATGTTAGAAAACATGGCTTGGACGGTGCATTGTTTATCAATTTTCGCAAACATATTCTAAAACATATTCTTTCATTGAGAACAATGGTTTGCTAACGGTCGAAATTTGGCACGCATAAACAAACGCAGTTTTTCATTTATTATTTTCACATTTGTCAAATGCTAACAAATTTTTACCTGTGTATGTTTTGTCTGAAAAAATAATATTTATTCTGAAATGACATCCGACAAAAGTTTCATGCTGTACAATGCATATATGAAATAAAAGAATAATAATTTTGTCATTTCTTCCTTGTTGTTTTATAATGCCGTTGGCAAAAATGTTTTATGATATTTTTGAAATATAATTTAATTAACTTAGTATACAAAACATAAATTTTCTGTTAACTAAAATATCAAACTGCCTAAACATGGCGACAAAATATAGAAAAATTGAAATAAGTTTCAACATTTTATATCTTTTAATATTAGTCTATCAATTTACTAGATCTCAAAGTGAAACGTTTAGTTTTAGCTTATGGCACTATGGATTTTGGAATAAGGAATTTTTCGTCTGCTCAGAAGATTTCAAGAAAAATGTTACTGTTCCTGGCAACAGCGCGTTGGAATGCGCCTTGGAGTGTGCCTCGAGGGACCCCTCGTGTCTGTCCTTCAATTTTCTTTCAGATGAAAAGGCCTGTCAGATATTTCCAACTTGGTCAAAACATTTCAGAGTAGAGAACCAAACCAACATAACGTGTCTATATTTTTTTCAGGTAAATGGAAGTTAATTTCGTTTCGTTTTGTTATTTATTTACATTTGAATGAAAAAATGTTTGTCGAATATTCAATTATAAATTATTGCCATCATTTTAAACTCTTGGATGAATCCAAGTATTGTTGCCTGATGTTTTTGCAGAGCAGGAAAAATTGTTTGAAAGTTTTGTAACACTTTTTGCAAAAATTTTAAATAAATTAAAGTTTATTTTTTCTAAAATGTTAAACTTGAAAAATCAGTATCTATAAATTATTTTTCTAAAAAAATTGTTAAAATAAACCTGAAAAATGTATTTTCATTCAGGCAAATATAATAACCTGGCTCTGAGGAGACCGGCCTATTCAACCGTCACAAAAAATAAGTCAGGCAGCACCCAGCATGGCGGTTGATGGCATTCGATCAAGTGTTTATAGTCCCGACGGGCGTTTCTTTTGTGAAGGTGGTCCACCCAACTGGATTGTTGTTCAGTTGGCTGATGTATTCAGCATCTATTATATCTTGCTGGTTAATAGCAACACGGCAGGTTAAACGTTTTCGTCTTATGGTTTCAAAAACTCTGCTGAATATAGTTGTAGAGAAATAAATATATTCAGGAAATTCACGTCAACTTTGAATAACCCAAAACAGGTAGTAGATTATCAAAGTATATAGTTGGGCTAAACAGGAGCCTAGGATCAGTCGTCAACAGATGGGACTACGACCTCTGCGGACAGTATCCCAGAGGAACTGAGAATTCTACGTGGTACATAACATTATGCCAGAGTTACTCATATGGACACAGGTATGTTATTGTGCAGTCTGCGAGTGATACTGATCGATATTTAACTCTTTGCGAGCTGGAGGTTTATGGCCGATGATGTGTGCGATAACTTGAAATTAAAATTTTGCTGATTCAAATGAGGGAAACTATGACAGTCTAAAGATTTAAAAAAAATTATTTCAATTTTTTATTATAAAATAAGGAGTCAATTACTTTATTTAGCACTATTATTAACTATTTGGAAAAAATTGTAACAACGCTGATAACTAACGAACGACGATGACTGACATTGAAGGATGAACATCAAAATTACTGCTTCATGGATAATTTTCAGTTTATTTTATCAAAAATTATTAGGTTAAAAGTTCATCAAAATAAAAACTTAAAAAAAGGAAATTTATTACCAATATTGTTACAAAACATTTATTGAACGCTACATAATTTAAGGCAAAAATCCAACTCCTCAACAAACAATATATACAAATCAATCAGCGTTACGTCATAAGTGACGTAGACACGCCATAACACGTGACCCAAAAAAGACAGCGTCACAAAATGTCGACACACGATACAGTGTAATTCAAATAAACAACATTACGCAAACAAACATGTCGGTAAACAATGCTTGAAATATGAGTGTGTAATGGAAATTATGTAAAGGCCGGGTCTCTTATATATGAGATTCTTAAAAGTTAAATTGTAGCAAAATACATCATCAACATATGCACATATATATGTTATTTGTAGAAATATCCCAAATATATCTCTTTAATATCAATACAAATATCTTTAAAAATATACAAATATCTTTAATATCATTTAGTCAGTCCGTATAATAAAGTATCTTTATCTTCACCATCAACAACATCACAACAATCATCACCACATCTTAATCACATCATCGTCACACCATCATCATCATCATCATCTCCACCATCAACAACATCACAATCACCACTTCTTAATCGCATCACCACCACATGTTCATCATCATCGTCGTCATCATCTGCAGTCAGTCCTGTAGTTCCCAATGAACGAACCATCTTCGTCATACTTGGACGGTTCGTAGTCATCGTACTCAGCAATGCTTGCGTTCCCCATGCTGATGCCTGAGCTGATCAGAGAGACAAGGCTGATTTTTAATCTCGGATCTCTGTGTGTATGTGTGTGGTTTTGTGCGTGTCTGTGTCTGTGTGTGTTTGTATTCGTTTGTGTGTGTGTGTGTTTGTTTGTCTGTGTGAATGAATTATTGATTGATAATTTATTTAATGACATTAAAAAAACCTGAGCGGAATGAGGATAAGTTAATGAACAAACGAATAAATAGTTCATTTACAAACCAATCCTTCATCCAAAAAATTCATCAATCAGTCAGCAGGCCAATCATTCAACCAACCAACCATTGAAATAACTTATCAACCAATCAATCAACCAGCCAATCAACTATTAAATCAACCAATCAATCAACCAGCCAATCAACTATTAAATTAACCAATCAATCAACCAGCCAATCAACTTATGAATCAACCAATCAATCAACCAGCCGTATAATCAAGCAACCAATCAAGTAATTAATCAATTAAACAAGCAAGCAACTGACGGTCTTCTATAATCAGAGAATCCGGTGAACTCCAGTTCTTTCTCAGGATTGTTCCCATTCTGCCGCTCCTTCTTGTCAACTTTTATTTTTTTAAATTTATTAAATCGCAAAAAAAATACGCATATACAAAGGACGCATGCATGCACGCACACTTGATAATCACAACAACATCGTTGATAAAAATATCCAAAACGACGACACCAACAACATCAACAATAACACCAACAATAACAATAACACCAACAATAACAACAACAATAACAACAACAATAACATCATTAACAATAACAACAATAACAACAATGTACTGACCACTGTATGAAGCTCCTCTTCTCTTGGAATAACAACAGAGCAAAAACAACAACATCGACAACAGAAACAACAACAGCATCACTCCTAATGTTAGTAGCACGACCAATGTGCTGGCACTAGCAGTCTTTAAAACTAGAAAAGAATTTTTTTTTAATCCGTACAATAAATCAAATTATGTCGAACGCAAAGAAAGCAACCGCTCGCAAAGTATAAGACGATGGAAACATAATTACGAATGGAGAGAGCGTTACGACAGTTTTTAACAACGGTTGTAATAATAGTATTTAACTGTTTACTAAATCTGTTACATCATTCAGAAAGAGGTAGAAGAATAATTTCAAGAGCAAGGCGGGCGGCGCGGTAGTGTAATGGTTAAACTGCCTGGCGCTGCTGATGCAATGATCGTGTTCGACTGCAAAAAGATCCAAGCTTATCATATACAAGTAAAATTATTTTATATTAAAATTTAAATAAATAAAAATATGGATTAAAAGTAAACTTACACGTTGACAATCCAAAAACCGGTCTGTAGGAAACCTCAAATACCCTCTCATCAGCGCTGTAGCCACTGGAAACGAAACAGGAATACTTACCGACGTGATCCTCCCACCATCTTGAATCATTTATGTAGCGCACAAAAGTTAACGTTCGATTATTGTCGGTTAGTAAAATTTTTCCGTAAAAGTTTACATTTTCATGACGATGATTGTTACTCTGATGGAGATTTGAACTATTACTACTACTACTACTACTACTACTACCACCACTACTACTACCACTACTACTGACGTCATCGTCAGAAGATAATAAATATTTGAAATCGTCGCCGTCGTAGTGGTCGTGGCGGTACCACAAAATGGAGATGGGCGTACTGTCGTCTGAGGTGGCAGAGCACGTGACTGTGATGACGTCAGTTTCGGGGCTAACTGTTTGACTTGCCGGTGGCTCTGTTATTGTGGTTTTTTCTTGGGGAGAATAGGGTTTAATTAATGTTTTTGTTGGCAATATTGTTATAATTAATTATTATTGTAAATAATTTCATGGACGTATATATTATAGCTTTTATCATTCATTATCACTATTATCATCGTCGTCGTCATAACTACTGTTTTCATAATTTTGATCATCATCATGATTAGTATCCAAGCAATCAACGATCACCACCACCACCACCATAATCATCATCATCATCATTATCATCATGTGCACCACCATTTTGACCACTATCGCCGTCATCATCATTATCATTATCCTCATCATCATAATCATCATCATCATCGTCATCCGATCATCACCATTTTCCACATCACACCCAGCCAGCCAGCCAGCCAACCGACCAAGAACATTAACGTAAGCAGTCCCCCAGACCTCGCCGTGTACATTCCGTCCTTGACATTGAATGACCGACAAGTCCGTAGACCAAGCGCCGCGACCACCACTACCACCGAAACGACCACCACTTCCGGCAAATTTGTTGAGACCACCATCGTAATGATTCCTGCAAGTTTTGCAGAGGTTTCTGATCGTAAGATGGCGCCCATCGCTGGACAGACGATATTTCCGTGGGTTCGTTGCTATTAGCAAGAAGCGGGAAAAAGTTAAAATTTAAAATTATTGGAGTGCTTGTTTTATAAATTGAAATTATAAAATAATTATATTGAAAAAATGATAAAAATAACTATGAATTCAACATAATAATAATAATAACAACAAGTTTGCGTAAAAATAAATTATTCAAAAAATCGGCCAACCAATCAAAATCTCTCCGTCTATGTACCACGTGATGTTAGCGGGCGGGAAGGCATGAATGTGGCATGGTATCGTCACATTGTCACCGACTGTGGCGTTCACGTTCTGTGGCTCGTCCAAGTCGTTGCGCTTGAACGCTGGTGTGGCTGGCGGGAAAGCGATTGATGGTACGGAGTACGGAGTGAGAGAAGAAATTATGAAAATGAAGGAGTTGTGAAAATATGATGGAGGAATTGTTGGAAAAAAAATAAGAAATAATGGTCTATTGATGATGAAATGATGACCAACTGATAACAAAATGACGTCACCTGATGATGAAACGAAGAAAAATTTTCAGAACAATTTATGAAAGTTAAATAACAAATTAAGAAAAATTGATATGACGAAGCAACGATGAAAAAGAACTGACGATAAAATGTGATAAATAAGTCCAGAATTTAAAAAAAAGATTTTTTCACAAATTAATTTTTAATTTAAAAAAATTTCACAAAAATCTAAAAAGTAAACGAAAACATACCCTCAACAACCAGGTGGATTTCATGGAAGGCGCTTCCCAACTCATTGACACCAACACATTCGTAGATTGACGAATCATTCAATGTTACTAATCCAACATTATACTGAACTCCTTCGAAAAGGATGCTGTTATAACTATTTATACTTTTTATAATTTCACTACTGTTGTTGTGGTTGTTGTGGCTGTGGTTGTTGTTGATGTTGTGGATGCTGTTGTGGCTGTTGATGTTGTGGAAATTGTGGATGTCGTCATCGTTAATGTTTTTTCCAGAAAAAGTAGCTTTAGCTTTTTCGTTGGGTTTTATTTTTCGCCAGATAACTTTAGGCGTTGGTCTATGTGAAATTTTTTTTAAACGACGTTAACTCTAATAAGAAAAAAATATTGAATATATATTAATAATGATAATAAGAATAATAATAATAATAATCAGAAGAAGGAAAAGAAGAAGAAGGAGAGTGCTAAGAAGATGAATAATAATTGACCACTAACAGTCCAGTAAAGAAGCACTGGACAGTAACATTGCTTCCTTCCAATACGGTCATTTTTTGTGGCGATGAGAAGATGAGAGATGGTGATTTGTTCGAAGGGGATGGCGATGAAGCTGCTGTTTGATTGGTTAAGTGATTGGACGATTGGTTGAATGGTCAGTTGGCTAATTGATTGATTGACTGAGGAACAAGCAAACGAATGAATGAACGAAAAACGGATGCACGCACGGACGAATAAATGAATGAACTAATGAATGAATGACTGAAGCAACAAACAAACAAACGAACAAGTGAATTAATCAATGAATAAATGGTTTGTTGAAATATTGAATGGTTAATTATATTTTGAAACTGTACATTCATTCATCAAAACCTTGTACAAGCACCTAAGTACAAACACAAATATAAATGGACAATTTGACAAAATGACGTCACCAACATTCAACGATCCTGAATTGATACTCTTTCCGGCTGTATTGATCGAAGACTGCATTCATGACGTAACAAACATAAATGACGTCAGCATCGGATCGGATTGCATTCGATACATGAATGGTATCTGTTGTTGTGTAATTTGTATTTGTTCCTATATCTCATGGTATGGTAATTAATTTTTGAAGAATTTAAGCATTAATTTGGCAATGTTTATCCAATTAACCAACCAACCATAATTGACAACAATCCTGTCATTGGATACGACATCAGAATTATCCAGAAACTGCCACTTGTAAATGGGGGCTGGATTGGATTTTTTGGATATGCATCGTAGTTTGCAGTGGTTTCCTGGATGATTAGATGGATGATGTGGGTGATGATGACGACGACGATGATGAGGCTTTTTCATGTATAAGGTTTTGTAAAAAGTTGTTATTCTATTGATAGTAGTGATAATAATAATATTAAAAAGATTATGCTGATGATGTGGATAAGACACGAAGAAATACATATATTTATAACAAACACACACATAGACATCCACACACAGTAACATACACACGCACACATTACACACACACTCACATAAAAAAATCTAACCGAAAATACACTCAACGACACTCTTTGGGTCGTCATCAGTTCTATCAAAATAAGCCATTTCTAGAACCATAGGGGGTGAAATTAGCTTTCCATAATTATTCCACACCATGCATCTGTACGTGCCTGCCGTATCACTGGTCGCGCTGCTTATCTGCAGTACGGTGGAATTGTTCAGCGTTGAAAAATGATGACTACTTCGATGTTGTTTTGGCTGGTGATTGTTGTTGTCCGTGTTGTTGTTGTTGTTGTTGGTTGTGTTGGTGTTATTGTAATTAGATTCAGGTATGGTTTTGTCGTCTTTAATCCATTGAACTCTGTTGGATGAATTATCAGGAAGACATTTAAGGAATCCATCTATTTGACTATTCATATATTCATTTTACAAGTTCTTCACACATGTTTTTTCATCAATCTTTCTATTCATCTATCAACTTATCTAAAATCCATCCATTCATCCAACCCAATGACAAACCTGGGACTTGGATATCCAACAGGAATGCATGTGAGATTGAGATTCATTCGTTTGTAGATATACTGATGTGAGAGACTCTGGGAGACAATGGACGGAGGTAACCTTACTGAGTTGACGATAATTTATTAATTATAATCAAATTATGGTGAGTGTGTGTACTGTACTGTTTGTGTAAGTGTGTGTGTCTGTGTGTGTGTGTGCGTGTATTGTGTGTAACATATTACCACATCATGACCTGTGTTGTTTATTTTGCATGGCTCATGAGATAGCTCTAAGGTCAAACAATTAGCTTAGTGACATCACTTTCATCCATTACGCAATATTAGACACATTTACGTAAATTCATACGTCTTCATTGGGCGTATCTATAACTTTATATATAATATATAACTATTTATTCATTTAATTATTTGTTTGTATGTACAAAGTATGTACGCACATGTAAAAGTGTGCGTGCACAACACACACACATAAGCGTTGCATCTTTTTTGTGTACAATGTGTGTACACTGCCTCATCAGCCAATAGATAAAGAGGATGACTGAACATGCACGCACGCTTAACAAGGCACATCCGACAGTTCCTCTCTCTCTGTCTCTGTCTCTCTCTCTCTCTATCTCTCTCTCTGTTTCTCTCTCTCTCCCTGTCTCTCTCTCTGTCTCTCTCTCTGTCTCTCTCTCTCTTTCTCTCTCTCTATGCTCTCATCTGATAGACTTCTGCACATGTTGGCTGTTTAATGATGTGTTGTTGCGTTGGTATGTTGTTGAGGAGTTGGTTGTTGTTGTTTCAAGTCCAAGGTTCATCCACTGTTTTGCAATGTTGGAGATTGGATTGATTGTGGACTGGATGGATAAATGACGGATGGACGGACGGATGTATGAATGGATGGATGGATGGATAGATGGTGGAAAAGCGATGGATGAACGGATGGATGGTGGAAAAATTTGGCTGAATGGATGAATGATAGTTGAATGTGGATGGATGAGTTTGAAGTGATCAAATATAGATAGACAGATGGATGAATGGATGAATGCCAAGGACAGAGTGGTTTGATGAGCAGGTTGGAAATTAAATGTATGGCTGAAAGGAGAACAGAAAAAATAATGAATAACTGAGCAGACAGGAGGATGAATGATTGCTACAACAAATAAAACTGTTAGATGAACAAATAAAATAACTATTGAGCAAACATTGGTGAACAAACAAACAAACAAAACACGGAATGAATGAATAAATGTATGAATGAATGAATGAATGAATGAATGAATGAATGAATGAATGAATGAATGAATGAACAAACAATTGAACGAACGAATGAACGAACGAATGAATGAATAAATGAATGTTTTTCACCATCAATCCATCCATCTATCAGGATGAATCTAATTGAACTTCAACCCAATTTGCCATCAATATAAACACCATCCGTATCAAACACGTGTAACTCACTCAATACTCACCTATATCAATGTATATTTCTAACTATCTCTATTTTCTCTTTCTCTCTCTCTCTTTTTCTCTCTCTTATATGCATAAACTCTTTCTCTCTTTTTCTTACGTACATATAATTTTAACTATTTCTTTTACTCTCACTATCCATCTATCAATCTATTGACCAACAATCCAGATAAAATCTATTTCAATATTTATCCACTTTATCCGTTAATCAATCATTTCACTCATCTCTTCAGTCATCTACTTCACCACCAACCAATCCATCCACCTATCTATGCACTCATCCATCAGCCCGTCAATCAATCATCCAAATGAATGAATGAAATGAACTTTGATCTCTCATATTTATACTGAAACGTTTATACTCCCCCATTGTTCAATATTCCAGCCGATAGCTACCCTTTGTATGTGTGTGCGTGTGCGATGTGTGTGTGTGTGCGTGTGTGTATTGTGTATAGTGAGAAGCGCCTAATTTGTTTAAACACATTTAGAGTCTATTCTTTTATTGCATTGCGTATAACGACAACAAATTGAAAAGCAGTACATTTTTCATAATTTAATATCATAAATAAATAAATATATAAATAAATAAATAAACGTAAACACAACACACATTTACAACAACACAAACTAAACATAGTCAGATGAAATAGTACAGAAACAGATAGACAGACACACACACACACACATAACAAACAACACATACAAAACGAGACGATACAATGATACATGGATGGCGAGTGAAGTGTTAAACATACGAATTCATTCAAGTGATGCATTCTTGGCTGGCTAGACAACAATGGCTTCACTCGAAATAAAAAAGAAGTGATAATAGTGAAGATAGGTGGAAATTGTGGAGAAATGTAAATTGGTGGATAAATTAGTGATGAAGAAGAGAGAGAGAGAAAGAGAAAGAAGATAGAGAGAGGAGAAAAAGAGAGATGGAGAGAGTAAGAAGATAAGATTTATAGATAAAGATAGAAAAGAGAAATAAATCAGTGTTATGAACATTGAAATATAGTTTACATGAATTCCGAAATTCATGATTAAAAATGGACACTGATGCACACACGCACACACACACGCACACACACACGTACGCATACACACATACACGCACACGCACACTTTTAAATCCGAGCCGAAGGAAGAAATATTTAATCCAGCTTAAAACCAAAAAAAACCAGCAAACTAATAATGACTCATCTCCGTTTGGAATATTGTAATCATTATCGCCATCATCATCATCATCATTCATCAACGTCCTCTTCATCGTTAGCATCGTCATCATTTTATTATCGTTCATATTATCATCGTCTTGATGTATAATATAAAAACAATAACCATGTTAATCCAATAATCACACAAGCACACAAACAAACAGAAACACACACACACAAACAGACAAAAAAACACACCACACACACACATTGTACACATCTGTACGTACACATAAAATAACATAATACAATAAAGAAGACCATAACGTCTGTGATGTACGTGCATACATGTTAGTAGAGGCAGGCAGGCGTGTGTGTACGTAAAGTTGTGCGTACAATTGTATGTACGTACATGTTAGATATTTTGGCATGTATATTCATACGTTTGTATGTGTGTTTGTGTGTGTGATTGTGTGTTTGTATATCTAATAATATGTAACTAAACTTAAACAGACATCAACAGCTGCAACATAGTTATACAATTGGAAGGACAGCAGATAGACCTATGCTTAATGCATTGACGTAAGTTTTTAATGATATGAAAGTGATGATGAAAGGATAAATACAAGAATAGTGACAATGACAACGATGATAACGATGATGATGATGATAATAAAAATGATATGGTGATGAAACAGTCTGCATTATCAAGGAACCCCATCAACAAAATACCATGGCCATCAACAACATCACCATCATCGTCGACATCACTGACATCATCGTCATCGTCATCAGCAAACAACTCAATGATGAGACACTCACTCACTCACTCACTCACTCACTCACTCACTCACTCACTCACTCACTCACTCACTCACTCACTCACTCACTCACTCACTCGCTCACTCTCCACTGTTTCAACCATCTGTTTGTGAATGGAATTTAATTTGTACAATCATCATCGTCGCCTTCATCATATATCACCATCATACATCATCATCATAAAAGATATCATTATCATCACCAATGACGATGATGATGACAAAAATACTACTGACGATGATGACAGTGATGATGATGATGAAAAAGAAGAAGATGATGATGGTGATGACGAGGATGATGTCCACAATGATGATTACGATGATAACGATGATAATGATGACGATGATGACGATGCTGATGAAGAAGAAGATGATGATGATAGTGAGGGTGATGAACATGGCATGAATAAATAAAAAAGCGACCTGTATGAATGACGTAAATTTCAATAATGATAATTTAATTAGCGAAGAATTGGCTGACATGTAGTACGTGCATCTTTCAGATGTACAATCCATTATGACATCAACAACAATAACACTAATAACAATAACATAACTACGATGTGCGTATGTGTGTATGTGTGCGTGCGTGTGTGCGTATGTGTGTGCGTGCGTATGCGTGTGAAAAAGAATAGATGTAAAATTACATTGATGAGCCCAAATACATGTACACATCATTTCCAAATAATACATACACACATACAAACATACATACATACAAACACAGAAATTCGTATGTAACGTTGTACGTACATTCAATATTAAATATACAACACATATGTATATATACATATACAATGTATATTGTATATGTATATATACTATATACATATATTGTATATATGTATATAGTATATATGTATGTATTAAATATTGTATATTGTATATATATACAATATACAATATTTAAGTAACACATTAATAATTATAAATGTTGTTTCATCGCGGCGTTATTTAATCATTCAGTAAAATTGTAATTGTACGGTTTCGATAATTATTACCACTGCACAAACCATCTATTTACACCTTAGTGCACAAACATATGCGTATATACGTGTGCGTATGTGTGTATGTGGCTGTGTATGTGTGCGTGTGGTTGTGTATGCGTGTGCGTGTGTGTGTGTGTGCGTGTGACATTAAACAAAGAACAAAACCGAAAGACAAATAATACAATGGGAAAAACAAATCTTACCGTCAAGAGTCGACGCTGACGAAATTATGGAGATCACAATCAGGATCGTCGTCATCATTATCCTCTGTCTCTTCATCATCGCCATCATCACCATCATCGTCGCCATCATCATCGTCGTCGTCGGCGGCGCTTTCATCTTCTTCGACGTTTCCTTAGCAATTGTCGTTATTGTCATGTTTGGCGTTCCACAGTTATTATTATTATTATTATTATTTGAAGGTAGAGTGCATTGTTGTTATTATTATTGTTATTATTTATTATTTCTATTTTTTTATTACTTGTTATTATTGTTTTTATTCCTCATATTATTATTATTATTATTATTGCTAGAGTTCATGCTATTATTATTTTGCGTTATCTCTAGAAGATATCACTGATACGTTTCAACAAATCCGTTTCCCCATTGCAAGCTTAGCGCCGAAATCTGAAAATAAATTAAGTTTTTGAATGAATGATGAATGAATGAATGAATGAATGAACGAATAAATGAATGAACGAATGAATGAATAAATGAATGAACGAATGAGTTAATTGATTTTTAAAAAATGAATGAATACACAAACAAATAAAAATGTGTGCGTGTGCGTGCGCGCGTGAAAATTGTTATTAATCAAATGTCATCACGAGAATAAATTTAACATCAAAGAATTTCTTCGTTCTGTTTCCATTTCATCCACTCAACACATTGCTACGAAATTATAGTGATAACGATAATAATAAAATAATAATAACAACAATAATAATAACAACAATAATAATAACAATCATCATCGTCACCATCGACATCTCCATCAACAATATAAGTGTCATGGATACACAAACACTGGCTGGAGATACAACGCTCTTTAATTCATTTTCTTTACTTTCTAATTATGCTAATCTTTCCATCTATCCATCCATTCAACCTAGCCATTCATCCATACGATCTTATATCTATCCAACCAACCACCAACCAACCAACCAACCAACCAACCAATCATCCGTGTATCCGTTCCAGCGAATACACAAAACAGAGTCAAAAAAATTTTTGATTTTGTTGAATTTAAAGTGAATCGTTGTTTTACAGTTTTGAATTAATGTGTAATTTATGTGTGTGTGTATGCGTTTGTATGTGTGTACGTGTACTTATTTGCTGTTTGTCTGAGTGTGTGTCAGTGTGTTTGTGTGTAGTGTGTGTGTGTAGTGTAGTGTATGTGTGGTGTGTGTAATAACAAATGCTATATCTGTGGAATGAACAACACAACACAGCAGATGTGAGAAACTGTTACAATTGTTTATTGCAATTATTCCGTCCCAGATAAGGCCGTCATGACAATCACATTAAGATAAACCAACGTGAATTATTAATAAATAACCAAATATACATGAAAATGATTTGCAAACATTCAATTACAAAGAGAGGAAAAAATCTTTAACAAGAGCGTAGTATGATTTAAACGATTAAACCCAGCTCAAATAGCATATGATATATGATATACAAAAAAGAACTACGTATGCAATTGCTAACTTCTCATTGTAACATGAACACCTACAAAATACACACAATCACACAGACACACACGCACAGAGACACACACACAATATGCAATAAACAGGAACGATCCCGTTAAAAGTCCATCCAAGCAAATAAATTTCTCACCCGCATGCTATTCTGAATTCTGAATTATTGTAACATTGTGGGAATCTATCCACCAATAAAAAATGGCACATCCTCTTGAGAATTATTCACTCCAATACCAGATTATATACCGGATATTTATTTAGGTATATCATGATGCCGAAGCTATCTCCATGTACATCTCTACACACACACTCGCTAGTATCATCTTCATCATTACTATCACCATCCTCATTATCATTACTATCATCATCGTCATCCTCCTCCTCATCATCATCTTCTAACAAGAACCTGGACACGTCAAAATGAGGAATTCAGCACTTAAACTCGGATAGGCATGCATGCATGCTACGAACGGACAGAGCATTGAGCGATAGGAAATATATGTCTATGTACCTAACCTATATACTGTATGTCTATGTGTTTGTCCTTGTGTACGTGCGTATGTACGTGAGTGCGTATGTATGTGTGTGTGTGAATGTGTGAAAAAACCACAGTGGATGCTTCAAACCAAAGAATATTTGTTAATTTTTCACACAAAAAAAACACAGACTTAAGCCTATTTAATAAAATCAAAGTATTTTTTAATGTAAAGACTCCATCAACTTGGTCATCTGCAGTTGTGAAATTATCCATCTAACTTGTTTTAAGAAAAGTTTAGATGATGCAAGTTTGCGCAAATATTTTTGAGCGAGTTTTAAGTCCAATTATCCGTTCAATTGAAAGTAGCAAGCAAGGCGTCTGTCTGTCTGCGTGTGTTTATCCAATTGTGCGTGTCTAAATGTTTGCTTTTAATTACAAACTTCCTGGTGAATGTTAGTAGCATCAATTTCAAGATAGATCTGTGTGCGCGCTCGTGATTTTGCGCGTGTGTTTGTGCGTACAAATTTTGTGTGTATAAATTGGTATATGGGGTAAATTACGGTCTATGAAACAGGTTATACACAGTAATGTAGTATTATTTATGGATTTGTAGAGATATGTGATGTGTAAGTATATGTGTGAGTGTGTGTGCGTGTGTATGTATGTGTGTAAGCGAGTGTGTGTGTGTGTGTGTTGTGTGGTTTATGTGAATGTGTTGGGTGGTTTGTTTGCCTTTCGTACTATATTTGAGAGATAATTATTGATTTGAAATATTCTGGCACATGCTGAAACCAGATGCGTTATTTAATTTCATTTTTCTTTCCCAACCAATCTAACCAACCAATCAACTAAGTAACCAATCAATCAACAACCAACTAACCAACCAACCAACAGCCAACTAACCAACCAACCAACAACTAAACAAACACACGATCATCATTTGTGAAATTGAAAAAAAGAAACAGTCTTCTCCAGTGCACCGGCTGGCAATGGTAGTATCAAATTATTTAAATAGAATTAAATTTTATGAAAAGTAAAAAAATGGAACCTAACTTTTGCACTTAAAAATTTATTTATTATCGCTAAAATTATATATTATTATTATTTATTATTATTAATTCTATTATTATTTATAATATTAATTATGTTTTTATTTTTATTAATATTATTGATTCTGAAAAGATTTAATACACAATGGCATCAATATCAAATGATGATTGTATGTACGGTGATGAAGGTAATGTAATGAATTTTATGCAATGTAATGTAATGTAATGTACATTCTTACCGTGTCATTCATTCATTCATATCTGAGAATTTAACAAAAAAATTGTCGAACAGAGTAAACCGTAGGTTACATTTCTGCATTATAGTTCTAGGTATCATGCTTTTTGTTATACCGGTTACACACATAACAAAAGAAATAATAATAACAGAGTAAAAAAAAACCAGAAACATGGGTGTAATTTGACACTGTGCAGTGCCTATACAAAAAACAGAGGGAGAGAAACATATAATAATAAATTAATAAGTTAACACATTAATAAATAACATTAATACATGGCATTAATAGCAATTGAGGTTACCAGGTTATGTGATGCTGATGGGATGCTGATGGGATGCTACGTTTTGAAGTTAATTTTTTGGTGCGAAGAAGAGATGGAGAGAGAGAAAGAAAAAAAGAGAAAGAAAATAACAGTTAGAAAAATAGTGAGTAAGAGAGGAGAAGAAACCAAATAACGAATGAGTGAGTGAAACAAGGAAGAATGCAACTGACATGAGAGAGAAAGAGTAAGAGAAAAAAAAATAGCCAAAGAGAAAAAGGAAAGAGATGCAAAGATAAGTAGAGAGAGGTAAGCTTTTAAAATGAAAATAAATCTTAGAAATCAAATTTGAACAATCATAAACAAACGTTGGTGCAAATATTTTCCAAATAATTTGAAAAAAATAAAATATAACTTATAAGTTTTGTAAACTTATAATAAAAAATTAACTCTAGAGGCTACCAGTTGACAATGCAGAAGCATCAGATATCCCTAGATGACATACGAGCCACAGAATAGCAGAATTATCTGCTTAATGTTATAAGCACACACACACACACACACACACACACACACACACACACACACACACACATACATACACACACACACGCACGCACGCACATTAATACACATACAAATACTTACAGTATATACTATATATACAAATATTTTATAAAAATTATATTATTAGAACGAAATATGCAGTATAAAAATTAAAAATCCATGTATATCAAAATGAAAATTATTAATCACTAATGTATGCAACTGGATTAGATTAGAATATTAGATTAGATTAGACATTAGATTAGATTCATTAGAGATTAGTAGAGAGAGTATTTTCTTAAAAGTTTCAATTTCAAATAACACGCACTAATTACTAACTGTATGTATACTAGGCACCTCATAATTTTTCATTATTCTGTCAAAAATTAAAAAAATCAAGTTCAAATGCTGTATAAAAAAATAATAATATAATAATAATAATATAATAATAATAATATAATAAAATAATAATACTAACGTGCTACCTACTAGAATCTTTAACGTTTAAAAAATGACGTTACAATTTAAAAGTGAATCTAGATAACTAACTGCTTTTAGTGACGTCTTAACTAAATAATCCGAGAAAAATTAAAAACTAGCGATACGAATAAAAATGAAGCCATAACAACGCTAAAAATCTCTTCAAAACTCTGAAAATACTATTCTCTAAACGAATCTATTTCATTTTGCCCAAAAAAGATCCTATTAATAACCAAATTAACTTTTAAATTTAATTCAATTCTCATCGTCAAATTACACGGCTTTAGTTAATTGGTTCAAAATTAATTAATTAATTAATCTACATACAATACAAAACGAGGTCAGAAGCAAATCATCAAACAACATCAAACAACACGTTCTCTTCGTAGTTTAACGAACACTCTCATGACACTACAAATTTCCTACCAATGATTTCCAGTTTAGAATAGTCTAACTCGAAGTAGCAATAATATCATGTATATAGATTATAATATACAATGTACTCTATGTAAGTATTAACGGTATGTTATAGTATATTTATATGTACCTATATGGTCTAGACAACATGACAAAATATCTTTAAATATAACAATTTGCGTACAAGGTGTCTCGAAAAAATAACCATACAACGTACGCTTAAAATACATGTAAATAAATGTACGCCATACACAATGTATACAATTTGTTTAACGTATATGTATGCATATATATGAGTATGTATGTATATGTATATGGCATGTGAAATGTATGGATATATGGGCATTAAAGGCTAAGAGCAAAGGACAGTTTTCATTGGTCGGCTTGTTGTTATAATATTTTTATAAGACAGATGTTTCTGGAAGCTGGTAATAATTATAGGACAAATAAAAACAGTTCAAAGATGCATAATGTTGCACTACTTAATATGTTAATTATGTGTTACTTCATTGCGTGTGTAGGTGTTGTAACGTTATCTGTGTCCAGAATTGAAAATAAATATCTGGAGAATGTGGATAAAAAATTAAATGTTTGTGTGAATGAAACGCTATAGAAATTGAAATATTTTATAACTTGTATATATATAAACTATATATACATGTTTTTATGTGAAGTCTTTTAATCAATTTTTTATTATTTGTCTTACTATTACGATTGAATGTATGTACTGTACATTCATCTGTTGGAAAGCTTGTGAAAAATTTGAGTTTGGTAATTTGCGTCGGGAAATTAAATTAACACAGGTGTAACATTTAATATAAACAATATAACGGCATATATAATCAAGATAAATTTTTTTTACGTTTAGCACATGATAAAAATCTTTAAATTAGAAACTTTCTTTTGTTAAATTCCTTTATGTCTTCATTTATTACTTACATTTTTTTACTTTTATCCATCCATCTTGTATCTCAATCATCTTATTGGATATGGCTGAATGTATACATCCATCCATCTATCTTTTATCTCAATCATCTTGTTGAATATGGTTGAATGTATCCATCCATCCATCCATCCATCCATCCATTCATCCATCCATTCATCCATCTTGTATCTCAATCATCTTGTTGAATATGGTTGGATGATTTTTTCATTTGTTGTTTAGTTACAAAAGTTCGATAGATGTCAGAGAATAAACATCATTCGTTGAAAAAAAATACGTGGTGCATATCATTTTTTATGTTTAGGCTATAATAATGACGGTACAGAATTAAGACTCAAAAAGTAGTCAATTAAATGGTTCAATTAACATTAATTAAATAGTTAATTAAATATTTAAAAAGTCAATTAATCGGCGACAGATTGGTGGACAGATTTGTGGAGAAGTAGGGACCTGGCTTGGCAGAAAGACTTCGGACATTGACCACATCTGAATGGTTTCTCCTTGTAATGAGTGAAACTGGAAATGTGATGGCAATGATGTGAACAATTAATAACCTTGAAAGGAAGATCAGTTAGCAAACGTAGCGTACATACGTACATACAAACGCACAGAGCCAAACAAGCATGCAATCAGACATGCGTAAGAAAAGAACATATACATGCCTCCAAATGAACGCTAATTCACGCATAGTTGTATTCGAATGAAAGCAGTGTCAAACGCTAGTTCTTTTCAAGTGCTTATTTAAAGATAAGAATTTGGATTGTGAACCGGGAACAAGTGTGATTTTATTGATTTTAAAAGGGATATTGTCTAATTCTCACGTAATTAAATTTGAAACCAACATTAATCATTCTGCTTGCAGCAGCTATGCGTTCGAAGAGTTAACCTAATTTAAAGTGAAAACAAGGAGAGAAGTACAAACTTATGATCACGGAGATGGTCCTTGCGTCTGAAGGATTTGGCGCAAACAGCGCATTCGAACGGCCTCTCATCAGTGTGAGTGCGTACGTGAATCTTCAAGTTGTAAGACTTTGTGAACTGTCGCAAGCAGAAGGAGCACGTGTAGTCGCGTCGTGGTCGGCTTCTGGGTTTGATAATTTTTTATTTATTATTATTATTATTTATAAGTATTTTTTTATTTTTAATATGAATCAAAAAACTTTTATAACCGTTCATTTTTGTATTTTTAATAATTCAAAAAATTTAAGTACTGACTTTGGTGGTTTTTTAATTTCATTTGACAGATGGCACTTAGTTTTGCGTACTCTTTCCAGTTGCTGGGTTGATGAAACGTGCGGGGTCAAGTTTGTTTTCATACTTTCAAAGATTTTTGTGTTGATGTTGTTGTTGTTGTTGTACAAAATGTTACTGATGACACTTACATTATTGTTGATGCTGTTGTTGATGATGTCATTCGGGTTGTTAGAACTAGTTTTGTTTAAAATTTTGTCGATGGAGTTAAATTTTTTGCGAAAAATATTGGTGCAGTTTTTTTTCTTTATTTTGCAATTGTTGTTTGAGGTTTTGTTAAGTTTTTTGTAGCGTGTGTTGTTCTTAACTACGATATTATTGTTATAAATGTTTGTTTGATATTTTATTGTCGAGTGTTTCGTTTTTATTTTGTTGTTATTGTTGGTGCTGCCCTTAATATTGTTCGTGTTGTTGCTATTGTTGTTGTTGTTTCTACACTTCCATTTATGATCCATTCTAACCGTTGTTGATATGTTGTTGTTTTGAATGTTGTCATTGTTGTCGTTGCTGCAACTACTGCTGCTGCTGCTGAGAAAAAAATGTTCCTTGATAAGATGCTTATCCGTTTTGTTGTTGTTGCTGGCGAAGTAGTTGTTGAACATTGACGCAATGTCACTGCAAACTTCGTTGTTGTTATTGTTGTTAATATCCTTATTGTAATTGTTGTTATTTCTATTATTGTTATTATTGTTGTAGTCAATGTTTTTGTTAAAGCTAAAAGTATTGTTGCTAGCGATGAAGTTAAAATTGTTGCAGAGATGTTTATAATTGTAACTGATGTTGTTGTAGTTGTCGCTGTTTTTGTTGAAAATCATTCTGTCACGAATGCATCTGTCATAATGGAAGTAACTGTTAAAAAGCAAATCAAAGTAGCTTCTGAAATCATTGTTTAGCGTGTTCAGCTGCCTGCCGTCAGATCTCAATAACTTACCATCAATCTTGTTGAATGTTGGATCATCGAACAAGTTGAATGGTTCGTGGCGACATTCATCTTGTCGTTTGTGGCCATTGCAGCTGTCGTCGTTCAGGTATGGTCTGAACAATTTTTGTTGATATTTGGGTTGTTGTTGCTGCTGTTGGTACAGGTTTTGGTGAAGGTGTAGTTGTTGTTGTTGTTGGTGGGAATGATAAAATTGTTGTGGTTGGTGGTGACGATGATGAAGTTGTTGTGGTTGGCGGTGACGATAATGAAGTTGTTGTGGTTGGTGGTGACGATGAGGCGGTTGATGATAGAAGGGCAGTCGCTGCAGTTGCTGGCGACGCAATTGTAGTTCTTGATATTTATACGCCCCATACATCCAAAATAGTTTGTAGTAGTTATTTGATAAAATGTTGCCCAAGTGTTTGTTAATGTAATAATCATTGTTGTTGTCGTTGTTGTTAGCAAATGCATGAATGTTATTTGTCGGAAAGACTAAAGACGGAGTTGGAGTACAGCTGGATGTTACATGAGATGTCGTTACGTGATTAATGATTTCATCACATGGATGAAAATATTTATGATTGGTATTAATGTCACCAATATCGCTGCTAATGTTGTTGATGATGTTGTTGTGTATATTGTTGTCATTTTTAAAACCAACATTATCGTTAATGTAATTGCTGCTAAGAAATTCTTTATCGAATTTATAATCAAACTTATCTTTATCATGGCTTTTAATCATTTTATACTTGGGATTACTGATTGCGGATTGATTGATTGTAGATTTATCTGAGATGGTTTTTTTGCTGTAATGATCGTTGATGTAATTTTTGTTATTGTCGCAAGAGTTGATGTTAATGCCATTTTTGGCACCTTCACAATATTTCGCATTGTTCGACTGATCATTATTTATAAGTTCCGTGACGGTGGTGTCACTTTTGTTAATGTCATTGTTGATGCAGGGATCGCTACTTTTAACGTTACTGTCGTGAATGTTGATGTTGTTATTGATGTCGCGAAACTTGCTGTTGGCGTTGTTGTCGTAGTTGCGGTTGTTGATGTTCTTTTCGTCGATCGTGTTGCTGATAATATGTTTTCTTCTGTTGTTGTGGCTGGGGTTGTTATTGTCACAATCGTTGTTGTTATTACTACTGTTACTATAGTTGTTATAATTGTTGTTTTTAATGTTATGATTGCTGTAATTGATGTCACCAAACTTTGCCACTTCAAAATCCTCCTTGCAACACGACTCAACCAGCCTTCCATAATCAAACTTCCGACTCACTTGTTTGATGTTTGCCAGGAAGTTTGCTGCTGACATAACGGACTCCATGTTTTTTTCTAATAATTTTTTTTAACTTTTACCAAAACTTATCATAATTTTAACGACTTAGAACTAATGTGAAATGTTTTCAACTGTTTTAACGCAGTTTCAATCAAGTTATATAAAGTGAAAACTGTGGCTGATCGATAGTATTTGTATAAGTTGTAGCACAAAATTCATTACTAAATTGTCCTTCGAAATTTAAACAACTTCAAACACATTGAAAAAATCCCATTAAATCTTTATTTAAATAAAATAATTACAAGTAAAAGAGTTTAATAATAAATAATGGGATAAAATAAAATAATTTCTACACTATGAAATTTACCAGCAACCATCCAAACAGAATCTAAACCGAGAGAGAAGATGTTTAATTCGCTTTAATAGCATCCTAATAAAGAAAACCTCCTTCCACTTTATGATACATTTTCATCATTTGTTTGTTGATTGGTACACTTGAGTACGTACACACATACACAAACACACACACGACACCACACAAACACACGCACACGCACGCACACACTTAATGGTAAAGAGGCACACACATAAACAAGCCTACATACAAACAAATACACAAAACACGGATACTCATTTATAAAGAAGCGATACGTAAACACGAAAAACATGCGCGCACGTACGTCACACGCGCACACGCACATACGATAATTGATTGCTCATCGTCAACAGTTGCAGCAGTAAACTTTTTCATCACTTCTTACTAAAAGTTAACTTCCACACCGAGGAGGAGGAGGTCTTAGCGATGAAAGTAGGCGTGGCTTGGTGGGGCTGATTGACGTCCTGTCATTTGTCACGAACGACTTTGGTTGGCAACGTTCCATTTGATGTTACGAAAGTTAAGATGAGGTTGACATTTCAATTTGCATTGAAAATATTTTACTCTCCAAACTGAACATTCAGACAAAAAATTCATTCGAATATCAGAAAAGTTTGACAAAAAGTTACGAAAAGTATGAAAAAAATTGATTTATTGATCAAGTCGTTTGTTGGTAGAATCTATCGAAGAGAAAAAAGTTCTAATTAACCGTTGCTAAATCTGACAAATCAGAGACAAATAGATTAACATTTATAAGAAAATTATTATAAAATTAATTAATAACAGATTATAATTTATATTATCATCATCTTCATTATCATCATCATCGACAACACGTACACGCACACACGTGCACACACACGCACACACGTGCACACACACGCACACACGTGCACACACACACACACGCACGTAACTAATGAAGAGTAATGTTATAAAGTTCTGCATACCATTATAGATTCATTACATCAACATCCTCCAATTAATGACTGCCAATAAAATGCCGCGCGCTGATGAGGATAATGACGATGATTTTTGCGATGATGGTTATGATGATGATGATAACGATGGTGATGATAACGATGATGACGACGATGATGATGATGATTGGCTAAGGTAAGGTCAAGGACGATGATATTGATGATGATGTCATTTGTGATAATAAAAATTCGGTAATGATGATGATTGTGATGATGGTGGCGATGATGATAGTGATGATAGCGCTTATGATGGTAGTTTGGATGATGTTGATTTAGAGGTGAACGAAATGATGATGTCTGTGATCATATTCATAATGATGCTGACGATGACGAGGAAGAAGAGGATGCTGATTAAGATGAAGATGACAACAAAGCCGATGATGATGATGTTTATGATGAAGATGTAAATTTAAAACACTTTACACTTAGAAATCATTAGCGGTGATTGTTGTCAATAATTTTTCCGTCATGCCAGCGTTAGTTGGCTGTGTGCCGGTTCGTGTGTGTGCACATGTGTGTATGTGCATGTGTGAACCTGTTTGTGTGTGTGCGCGTGTGTGTATGCGCGCGCCCGTGTGTACTTGTGAGACTTTATCGAATTGTTAGCAGATTCTTACAGCGTTATACACTACTGATTTTAAAGTTAGAAAACATTTGCCGATGATTAAAAACAATCTACTGGCAGTGTGCTGTACAACATTACCATTACTCGAGGTTATCACAAGATGTGATGTGATTACGATGATGAGCCTGCATGTTTCATACCAATAATTACAGACAGACGAAGAAAAGACGAATACTGAATTCGGATGTCCATTGGTATTAGGATTAATTTGTTACGATGGTACGCTAAAATAATTAAATATTTTGTAAAAATTACCATGGTGGCAGTGGTGAATGGGGTTCTAATTTATGAGGATGATGATTGTGGTGACTGGGGTGGTGGTGACAAAATTCACCTATAACCGACCGGAAACGAGTCTATTTTTAAATTGAAAAAAATTACACGGACCACCAAAATTTCGCAAGTTTAATGATTTGAGATTGAAAATTTTTCATTTTAAATCGACACGAAGTTAGTAAAAAAAATTGCACGCGAAGAAATTTTACTTTTTTCAAATAAAATTCTTAACTAGGAACAAAAAAATTATCTCAATTTATTTATTAAAATCCTCAATCGCATCCCACAAAGGAAATGACATAGACTAAAAGGTCATCATCATTATCATCATCATTTTCTTCATCATCTTCATCATTATCATCATCATCATCTTCTTCTTCTTTATCATCATCTTCATCATCATCATCTTTATCATCATCATCTTTATCATCATCTTCTTCTTCATCATCTTTTTCTTCATCATCACCGAACTAATAAGTTACCATTTGTGTAGTTGGTGGGAGAAATTTTTCTTTTGTCCAATGATATAACACCCATCATCATCGTCATCAGTATTATTATTATCATCACCACCACCACCATCATCACTATCATCATCAACATTATTGTCATCATCGTCATCATCGTCAACAACAACAACAACAAAACAATCATCATCGTCATTATTCTCGTTGATAGTGTAATTTTCATCGTCATCATCATTATTGTAATCGTAATCGTTACCATCTCCAATATCGGCGTTATTATTATTAACATTATCATCATCATCATCATCAACAACGTCATTGTCATCATCATAATCATCATCAACGTTACCGTCATTATTGTCATTGCTGTTATTATCATCACCATCATCATCATCGCCATCATCATCATCATCGTGAACAACAAAAATGACATCCCTTTCAGGAATGCCATCATCACCAACATCGTCGTCCTCATCATCATCATAATCATCATTATCATCATCATCATCATCATCATCATCCTTATCATTTTTACTATAGAGCCAGATTTGTTTATGCTTATTAACTGTATTATTATTTTCCATAGTGTTGTTGTTGTTTGTGTGAGTTTTAGCATGTTCAGCAATGTCTGCAGGTTTTGATTTGCTGACGATATTTTGACCGGAACCACAATCGCTACTCTTCGAACTGGCTGTACAAATTTTTTTCGTTTTGCTTTTTGAAGCTGTACTCAGACGTTCATCTAATTTATTTACGTTCGGAAATGTCGGGCTGATGTTTGGTTGGTATGGATTGCCTTGGCTAGCGACATGGCTGTTTCCAATTTCGAAATTTTTCTTCGAGTTGTTTCGTGTGGAGGATTTCACGTCCCCGCTATCCTGTAATTTTATACTACTTGGTTTATTTGAAAGAAGTTTGCCAGGTTTGGCTACGTTTTTATCATCAGCTGGCTTGGGAGCGTCAACTTCATTTGAAGGAGCCGTGAGATTAAGGATTGGTTCAGTGGCCAGGAAGCTCCGTTTGGAGACTGTTGGTTTGACTTTCAAAAGTTCCTCGCCTCTTTCTTTGAGTAAATGTTTCTTTTCTTCGTTGTCGATGACGTCATCATTGAGATGATTTTTTAAACGAATGACGCCCTCGTAATTTTCTTCTTCTCGACCGCCATTTTCTACACCATCATCTTTCTTATCATCCAGATTGTCATCGCTATCGTCGTTATCGCCATCCACGTCATCATCATCATCATCTTCGTCGTGGTCGTTATCGTCTTCGTTATTATTACCATCTTCATTACACTTTGCATCAAAACGCTGACAGGCCACACATCTTGCGACGACATTGTGCTGCTTGTCGTCGTCGTCACCCCCATCCTCCTCTCCGCTACCCCCAGTAACGATGGCAGTTCTTCCAGCATCAACAGTCACATCGGTAGGAACATCCGCACCAGCATTTTCTTTGCCGGCAGAGTCCTTAACAGCACCCGAAGTTATCTCAACGCTGGGAACCGCATGCATTTTCTGAACTAAATTGTCATTGCTGTAATCATCGTCAACTGTTTCCTCTTCGCAACTGTAAGTCGTCGCGTCCTGCACACGATGAACTCTGACCTGACTGAACCAGGAGTGGTGGAGCATTTGGGAGGCCGAGGCCCTCTTCTCCGGGTCGTACACGAGCAAGGGAAGTAGAAACTGAGTGAAACAGGACGCTTCCTCACGACTCCACTTGTACTTTTTGACTAGCAGTCGAAAGATCGTCGTCCGGTTCTCCACCGGGCACCTCATCTGTTCTGCATGTTGTGTAGCGTTCAACTAAATGGTTGTTGTAAAAACTATGAAACTTCATTTCTATTAAATCTGATTACTTATTCAACGTACATCATATCGCAATACAAAATTTTTTTTTTATAATTTGAAGTGGATTCAATCATTCAGTAAGGAAATAATTCAATTTTGCAAATGTATCAAAACTTAACAAACTTTTTTTGTTAAAATACTTAGAATACTGTTTTCCAGTCTTAGCAAAGTAATAGGGGATATCTCCGAGGAGTTGGACAAAGAGGGCGAGGTGGTGCTGACTGCGTGTGAAGTTTTCGCAAGCGTGTGGGTAGAAGAGGAAGTCCCCGGTTGCAAGTTCGAAGGCCTGTTTGTGTGTGAGTATGTTTTCTGTGTAAATGCACGTTTGTGTTTGGTGTAAGTGTGTGTTTGTGTTACCCTGTAACCAATGTTTCTTCAAGCTAGTAATAAAATTATAATTACGCAACCAGCCACACAAGCAACCAACCATGCAGGCCACACTCCAGAGATCACACGGTGTACTGTACTCTGCTCCAATGATGGTTTCCACGCATCTGTACTGCAGTGTCTGTATGGCGTCCGCATAGTGGTGATCCTTTCAGTAAGAAGCAAAATATTTTTTTAAAAAACGTATTCAGAAAATATGTTGTCGGATTATATGTTTTTGAACAAGTTCAGTGAATGAAAAGTAGTTTGTTGGCAGCAGTTGGACATTTTTAATCTGACTCTTAAAGACTGTTTAAGACTTTTTTGTCGTTTTTCTTACAAGAGTAAGAGTTTACAGCCAGCCACTAATGGACAATGCAGTCAGATAACAATAAGGTCTAAACAGTACACCAATAAAGTTATTGGTTAGAACACCAATAACTGTACTAAGAATGACCATATTGCGGTCGCCAACAATGTTGAAAAATTTGCCTGCATAAATTTTTATTGGCTCAACTCGACGCATGCAATTTAAAGACTACAAAAAAAGTTCAAGTAAAGTCTTTCAGGGCAGACTTTCATTTCAGCAATTCACTACTGCATGTAGTTTCATAGAAGATACTACCACTAACTGTCCAACAGGCATTACCCAGGTCAGCTATCTTGACCATTATCGGACAGTCATCTCGGCATGGGTCCTTGCCGTTGAATAACATGTCGTTTTCTGATAATTTTTTTGATTAATTAATAAGTTTAAGGTTAATTAATTTTTTAAATAAATTATTTCGTTTTAATAGTTAATTATTTTCATAATTATATATTCTTTTCGATTTATTTTTTTATGTATGTAAGCACGCGCAAGCACCGCATCATGGCGTATGATAGTCATTTGTGTTTCGAACGGACAGTATATTCGAACCAGGTCAATGCGCGATGACAGGTCATGACGTGGCACTCTACCGACTGAGCTAACTGTTTTTGTTTATGTTGTTAAAAACGTATTAGTCAATGAATGTTGTTGAGTACGTATGTTGTTGTTGTTGTTGTTGTTGTTGAATTGTGAATCACCAGTTAAACAAGGAGGATGATTGATGATGTGATGAAGTGTGTTCAGCTTCTCCAGTACTGTCATGTCGTCTGAATCAACCAGTCTGTCTGCATCTTTTGAGGCCATTGTAATAAAAGATAATGTTTATTTTTTATAAAAGTTTATGTTAGCATATGCTTGCATTATGTGCAAAAACATATTGATTTGTTGTTAAGCTTTTGTTTACACAAGAGAAAATATTTTAGCGTCTGTATGTAAGGCTAAGTAAGAGAAGCCTCTTTTTTGTAAGAAGATTTTGCGTCGCTAACTTTTTAACTAACTAATGGGAATTTTTGTATTGTAATGGAAAACAACTGCAAAGTGACCTTTGTAAAAACTACACATTAACAGATAAGTATGATTAACATCGTTGAAACTTAATAATGATAAGAAACAAATTACTAAATTTATGATAAATTATTTATATTACAAAACAAGTTAATTATTATTAGTAATATTATATTGCGGTGTATTAAATTATCTTTAATTACAATAAAACCTCACCCGTCTTGGTGCTGGTTGATAAAAAAAAACACCGAAGTTCACACATTTTTCAATTTCTATCTTTTGCGGTTATTTTAATCCACAATCCAAGCATTAATTCCACAAAAACATTCAGATAAACTTACAGACACCACCAGAAAAAGGCAACAAACATTGATGCCTGACACATTAACCGAATAGACTCACCAAAAGATAATTTAATGTTGTCGTGGGATTCAAATGGTTTCAGAAAATTAAAGAAAAATATATACTAAAGCAGGCGAAAATTGATAATAAAATGTTCCAACTTTTCTTGTTTGCTGGCGCGGGCAAGTTCAGGGTTTTCTTCTATGGCTGCTTTCAAACCTTCAAAAGTTATTTTACAGTTGCCATTCATATAATTTCCAAATGGAATAACCCTATCATATTTTTTTCCATTGCAAACATTTTTTAGAGGAGAGAGTGTTATTGCCACCACATATTTGTTAAAAGATAAATATTATTTAAAGGCGAATATATAATTGGTGGATATATAACTGAAAGGCCATAGATTTAGCTATAACTTTAGCTATAGATCAATTATCACATTGAAATTCTACGTTACTGAATTTGTGATATCTATTTTACTATCATTATAATTAAAAGTATTTGTAATTATTGATGATAATTACGTTTAAAAATGATAAATTGTTAATATTATAAATAAATATTTATGAATAAATAGAAATGTACAGACAAGTTGAGGAAAGGATTTAGAGGACACTCACGTTCATACTGATAGGATGTGATCATGGCTGAAAATGTTTTGCAGTCATCAGGAGGGGTATATTTATTATCGATATTCAATAAGTACAAATGCTACCGTGATATCATTAAAACATTAAAAAAATTTAATTCTGTCTACAAGTTTGAAGAAAAAATAAAAACAAAATAATCAGCTGTAAAAATCATAAACTACCAGATGAATAATTGATTTAGCTTAGGGGTGGGCAAACTTTTTGCTGTGAGAGCCGCATTGAAAACTATTTTACCTTTGAAGGACCGCATATATACTTGAAGAGCAAATTTAAAAGTTTGTTCAACCTTGATTTAGCTGTTAAAAACTATAAACTCCAGACCAAATTAATTAATTAACAAGATGAAAACAGTGCATTACTCCAAAATAAAACTCCAAGTACAAACACTAACAACACACAATTAACCCTTAACCAATTAGGAACTATTAATCAAAAAATAAAACGTTAAAAAAGAATAAGGAAAGCATTGAAAGCAATGTAAAATGAACAATCCACTCACAGGCACTGACGCTTGCTGGATCGTTCATTGTAGTGAAGATTTTGGCTGCTGCATACCAAACAAACCTGCAGAACATCAACATGCCAATTAATCATTGCAGTAACACTTAGTTGAATGGCTGACTGAATGCAGACTGGGGCGGCGTTATGACCTAATGGTTAAAGGCGCCTGATCATGTTTAACAGTGACCGGATTCAATTGCAAGAACAACCCAGTCTGTGTGTTATGCACTGTGTGTTATGCGTGGCAAATGACTGACACTGAAGAGTCGAGTACTGAAGAAATCATAGAATTAATATAAAACATCGAAAGGAATTAACAACAATATAATAACTAAACATGGAAAATTGGGTTATGGCAACTATTACAAACAAGATGAGAGAAAGAGAGAAAGAGAGAAAGAGAAAGAGAAAGAGAGAGAGAGAGAGAGAGAGAGAGAGAGAGAGAGAGAGAGAAAGACATTTTTCACAAATAACTCACCTTGGTTGTGGTACCAACAAAATATTTTCAGGCTTCAAGTCCGTGTGGATGATTTTGCATTTCTCATGCAAATACCTCAAGCCATCCAGAACCTTGGACAGTTAGAAAAATAATATTTTAAAATAATACAACAATATTTGCAATACTGAAAGGACACTGGGGTACATTGTCAACCTGGTACATTATGATTTTGACATTAGCAATGGGCAGTCCTCGATATTTTGATTGGACGATGAGGTGAAGCAAGTTCGGACCCATCACTTCAGTGGCAAGGCAGTAATCTGAGGTTAAAAATAGAATGGATCTGATTGGTGGATTCATCCAAATGAAGAATTTGATGATGATGATGGGAACGATGAAGAAGATGCTGATGACGACGACGACGTCGATGGTGATGATGATGATGACGATAATGAAGATGATGATGATAATGACGATGGTGGTGATGATGATTACGATAGTGGTGATGATGATGACGATGGTGGTGATGATGTTGACGATGATGATAATACGTTTTCCGTGTGGTCCATAGATTTCGAAACTGTCGAACAGTCGAATGATTCTCTCGCGACCTCGATCAGAAGGATCCGCGTTAAGGATCTTCAAATGAATGAATGATTGAATGAACGAACAAACGAACGAACGAACGAACGAGTGAGTGATTTAGTGAGCGATTTAGTGAGCGATTTAGTGAGTGAATGAGTGAGTGAGTGAGTGAGTGAGTGAGTGAGTGAGTGAGTGGGTGGGTGAGTGAGTGAGTGAGTGAGTTAATGAGTTAGTGAGTTAGTGAGTGAGTGAGTGAATTAATGAATGAATTAATAAATGAACGAACGAACGAATGAATGAACAAATGAATGAACAAAGGATTCAATGAGCAAATGAATGACTAGACGAATGATACTATTTTTATTATTATCATTTAAAGAAAAAATAAATAAAAAATAAATAAAAATAAAAATATTTATTTGAATAGATTTGTAAACGTCATACTATACCGCTTTAAGGAGTTTAATTTCGTCTCTAGCAGCATCCGAAAACTCGACTGCTGATTTGACGACTTTGAGGGCTGCGTAGCTTTTTTTTCTGACAGTTGGTTTGTTGTTAATAACAGTTCTACGTGCAATTCATTCAATGTTTATCTGACGTTAGCTTATGTACAATGTTTCGTTGCTATTCTATTGTGGTTTTGTATTTCGAATTTCAGAGAGTTCGCTTGTTTAAATTTGTCAATAATATAATTTGTTTCGCAGTGGAATTATATTTTAGTCGCCAATAAATTATTTTCTCTCCAATATGCTGGATCTTGAAGCAACATTTGTTGTAAGTGAATTTTATAAATTAAAATTTGTGGTTAACAAATTTTTATTTAAAATGTTATCAATCGATCGTATAATAAACACTCTGACAATTGTCATATTAATATTCTCCTCAACTCATTCATTCGCTCATCAATCTATCTCTTTAATCATCCCTCCACCCATCTATCCATCAATCAACCTATCCTCCCATTCATCCACTCATCTATCCACCCACCCATCCCTACTTTACATCCCAGCAGAGCCACACCGTGGAAAAGTAACCCCAGCCAAGTTTTCGAACGATGCGGTACTGGTCGTTGTACATGCTGCCTATACGTACGCAGTGGTAGCCCCCTGTTGACGGATGTGGTAGTGGAGTGAGTGAACGCTCCGAGGAACGTGACGTTATTGGATGTGTTAGATGCTTCTGATTCAACAAATATTCCACATTAACGTGCCAAAAACAAAATACTTCCTCTTTACAAAAGTCTTCTACATGCCCACTAAAAAATATTCAACCTCAACCTACAACTGACAGAGTACAAGAAGCACCTTTGCAATATTCTTCAACATTTTCTTGATCCTCTGCTCCAGGCTCCTTATTTGATGAGGAAGTCGACGACGACGTTGAGGCATATTTGGCGGACGCGTCGTCATCCACAGATTCCTCTTCATCCTCATCATCACTTCCGGATGTGGCTTCATCTTCTTCATTTTCAGTCAGCACGTGGAATGCCCCGTTCTCCCCCCACGCTCCCACTTTAACGTTGTAATCGTCCGTAACGTTCTCGCTGCTGTCGTCATCGTCGCTGGCATCGCCGCTGTCACCACCTCCTTCTTTTACCCTCTCCAATTCATCGTTCTCTCCTTCATCGTCGTCGTTTTCAACGTACTCATCATCGTCATCTTCATCAGTATCTTCACCATCAACTTCTCCATTGTCGTCGTCATCATCGTCATCGTCGTTTCCATCGTTATCATCATTATTGTTGTCAGCTTTGTTTACTTTACCACTTCCACCAATTTCACTATTCTTTGTTGAAAGTCTTTTTGAGAGGTCGTCGCGATGGGTGTCGTTGTTGACGTTGTCGTTGTCGCCAGCGTTTGAAAGCTTTTTCACGCCCTTTTCATCAATTTTCATCTGTGGCTTCCGACAGAGATGGTGGTTGTTATTTCCATCTTCATCCTCATCATCATCATCCTCATCATCTTCTTCATCTTTATCTTCATCATTATCATCATCGTCGTCGCCGTCGTCATCTTTGCTGTAAGCTTCGATCATATATTTTGTTCAAATTATTATTTAATCGCTGTGTTGAATTTATTTTCATTAGTAGAATTATTATTTTATTATTATTCGTTGCTAACATCATCGTCATCATTATCGTTATCATCATCATTCTTACTTAATTCATTTTTATCATCATCGTCATCATCACCACTCGGCTGGATGGCTTTAAACTTGTACTTCCTGTTAATTTTTCCTACCATAAAATTTGATAAATAATAAAAATAATAATAATAAAATTATAAGGAACATATTAAATAATAATAAAACGATTTAATTTTATTATAACTGCAGCTAGAAAATGTTAAAATATTTAAAATATAGTGCAGTGGTAAAGCCTGAGTTTTACTTAGGCGTGCTTAAATCAAGATTCATAAAGAAATTTTGCTAAATCCAACCACCAAAACCCTAGCAAATATTATCTGGCCACACCTTTACCAGTAGTTTAAAATAGTTTTAGCACTGAAAGATTAACTAGCCTACTTGTTAAACGGTCGGCCATAAATTCGAGACACTATTTGTAATTTTTTTTAAATTATTTTTTTATAATTAAAATAAATTAAATAAATTTAATTTAGACCACGATATTGAATTTATCTAATTCTAGTATTTCATTACTTTGTTTTGTTCTATTCAATTGTACTTTAATTTTATAGTTAGTTAATAAGATGAAATAAAATTTTTATATGACCAAATGGAAAAAAATATGAATAAATAACAATAATAATCATAAAATAATAAATAATCATAAAGTAAATTAATCTACAAATCAGTGAAATGGATTAAATTGGAGGCTAAAAATTGTTGAAAGAGGACTGAGAATTATTTATTGTTGTTTATATTATTCAGGAAGAACTCATAGCGTCAGAGCAACGTCAAAAAAGATACGATAAGTGTGCTTATTTCATATTTTTCAAGAGGATAAATTAATACAGTAATTGAATGTCTATTTGAAATGTAATAATTTTTTTATGATGGTATAACGACGAGAATTTTTAAAAAATTATGATGAATGACATTAAAATTGATAATACACTGCTTATGTAGCACACGTTAGCCAAATGGCTCGGGTGGCAAAGTGTATGGCACGGTTAGAGAATTAGATGCGCTCTTACTGGCTTCGAAACCTTGAAAAATTTAAATTTTTAAATGCCTTTCACAAGTTTAAAAAATGATTTTTACTGAATTTTGTTGTGATAAAACCTATTGTACTTTTTATAAAAATGCTTAAACTAGCAAACTTTTTGTATATTATTCATATTAATGTTAATAATGATTAAATGCATAACATCTTTATATATATATATATATATATATATATATAAATATATATATATATATATATATATATATATATATATATTTCAAAAATAGCTTTATTCAGCAAAATAACAACAGTTTTTCGCTAGGAGACCCGAAGTATCAACTTGTGGGGCCACCTATACACAATAGAAAAGGATTATGGATAGTAATAAACATAAACATGAAACTAATTCTATTATAAACAAAATATAAAAATAATAGATGATGAGAAAGGAATTCTTTTAACTATACACTAATAATAATAATAAAATATTTTCGAGTAATATGAAAATTAAGACAATAAAACTAAATGGTCGAGTTGCTATATTAAAAATGAATCAAGAAAAGTAATTTGAACGAACCAATTTGTTAATTATAGTTTTATAAGAACATAGAGTCAATGAATTCTTAGCATATATTGGCAGTAAATCGCAAAGATGCATTGATAAAGAAAGTACTGAATTTATATAAAAATTTGACCTGGGTTTAGAAAAATAAAAATCAGAATTATATCTCAAGGATCGAGTATTATGGTTTTTAAATATGATAATATGCTTATGAAGTATCGGACAAAAATTAAGTTTATATAATTTAAAAAAGAAAATTAAAGATTAAACAGTGTGTAATTGACTTACATTTAAAATATTTGCCATATTATAATAATGGCTAATGTGATCAATTCTATTTAATTTAAACAAAATACGCAAGAAAAAATTTTGATTAAGAGTTAACATATGAAGATTGGACTTCGAACTACAACCCCAGACAGGAATGCAATAAGTTAAGTAAGGCAAAATGAGAGAATTATATAAAGACATTAAAATAAAAATAGGAAACCTAGATCTCAAACGATAAATTACACCCAGATTTTTGGATAGTTAGCTAGATATCCACCTTATATGATCAAACCAATTCAAATTACTAGAGATAACAACACCCAAAAATTTAACAGAATGTACTCTTTTAATTAATATATTATTTAGTACTATGATAGGATAATAAATGTCTGTACGAATTTTAGGACCAAAAAAAATAAATAAAGTTTTGTCCAGGTTAATTCTTAAGTTATTAGAAACAACCCAATCATAGACATGAATTAATTCATTATTAATGGTAGAAACCAATAAATCAAGATTAGAATGCGAAAAAAGTAAAGTAGTATCGTCGGCAAAAAGTACAAATTTTAAAACATTAGAAGAGTCAATAAAGTCATTAATAAAAATATTAAATAATAGAGGACCCAAAATAGAACCTTGCGGAACACCTGATGCAATAGAAGACAGTTGAGACAGAATTATTAATAGAGACATATTGATAACGTTCATGCAGATAAGAATAAAACCATTTATAAGCTATTCCTCTTATACCGTATCTAGATAATTTATTTAGTAACATTTTATGATCCAATGAGTCAAAAGCCTTACAGAGATCAATAAAAACGCCAATAGAGAATTTTTTAGACTCAAGAGCAAGAGAAACATAATTTATTACGTCAGCAATAGCAAATTGTGTAGATTGTTTAGGACGAAAACCATACTGATTAGAGCAGAAAATGTTATTAGAATTTAAAAAATTAGAAAGTCTATTATGAACAATTTTTTCAATAAGTTTGGCTAAACTAGAAATAATAGATATAGGTCGGTAATTATTAATAATATGCCTATTACCAGATTTAAACAAGGGTATAACCCTAGAAATCTTTAAACATTTAGGGAAATAACCATTATTAAAAGACAAATTTATTAAATGTTGTAAAGGAATAATAATATTATTAAAAGTTTTTTTAGTAAAAAGTTTGAAAAACAATCATCACCCGAACTATAAGAATTTTTAAAATTATTAATAGAATCAATGATTTCAAGGAAGGAACAAACAAATAAAACAAAAGTGTTTGAAACATGAACATCCAAATACTTACGATAACCATGACTAACATTTTCACCCCCTAATGAATGACTACAATTAACAAAATTAGAAAAATAGTTGTTAAAATGGTTACATAAGCTCAAGTCATCTTTTATTAACTCGTTATCTACAGTAATATTATAAGATTAAATTTTTTTCATACCCATACATGGCTTCAATAAATTCCTGGTACCTTTAGCATTATGCCTATTTCTATTAAATTGATCCCTAAAATACATATCTTCTGAAACTCTACATAATTTTACAAAAATATTTTTGTAATTTTTATATAACAATTGGTCAGACAAAGATTTTGACTGTAAGAACTTCTTATAAAGTTTATTTTTAACAACAAAGGAAATAACCAAACCCTTGGTAATCCAGGGTTTTTTCTTGCGAGTTCGTTTATGAGTAGCTAAACAAAATTTAATAACAGCTTGTTTAAAAATATTAGAAAACAATTCAAAAGCTGTATCAGTGTCTGAACAACTTAAAACAACATTCCAATCAAAAGTCTTTAGGTAATGGTTTAATTTTGCAATGTTGGAACACTTATAATTAAGAGATTTTGTATAAGAATTAGAGGGATTATTTTCAAACGACAGGACAAAAGATGTAAATACAGCAAAATGATTAGACAAAGAAGAGTAAATTACACCTGATTTATGAGAACTCAAATTATTCGTAAAAATATTGTCGATTAATGATGAATTAGCAATAGTGACACGAGTAGGAACAGAAATTAAGGGAATAAAATTAAAGGCGTGAAATAAATTAACAAATTTAGTAGAAGTATTTCTATAGTCACATTTTAATAAGTCAATGTTAAAGTCACCAATAAAATATATAAATTTAAATGAATCAGATTTAATTTTTGATAATAAAGTACATAAATCATTTATAAATAACATAGGATCAGAGTTAGGAGGACGATACATAACATATATCAAGCAATTTAAATCACCATTAATAAATACTTCAACTGCTAGTAATTCAAAAGTTGGCGATAAATATAATAAGTCCTCGCGGATAACATATTTAAGGCAATTAATAACGAACAAACCAATACCACCACCAATACCATCTACACGATTCTTGAAAGCAAAGTCAAAGCCAGGCAAGTTAATTAAATTAGCATTGTCATTATGCAACCTTGTTTCAGTTATAGCTACTAAATGAAATTTATTATTACAACATTCAATTAAAGTGCCTATTTCAGTCATTTTATTAATTAAACTCCCACTATTTATATGAATAATCGAAAATACACCTGCGTCAATAAATGGATCAACCTCCTCTGGCGACAGAAGAGGACAGTCCCCATTAACATTATTTAGCAAGTTATAATCTGGATCAATATCACTAAGGAAAGAGTCAGAGTTACCATGAATATTGGATTCGTGGTTAAGATGTTCGGAATCATGGTTGTGATCCATGATTGAAGATCTTATTTTTCGAGTAATCATAATCCCACTCATGTAAGATATATATATATATATATATATATATATATATATATATATATATATATATATATCTACAACATTATCTATACCAATGATCCATTCACCTTATACAATATAAGTTAGCACAAATAACATATTCACAGTAGTGTTGAAATATTGGTATGAATAAAGAAACATAACTATAAATTACATATGAAGATGTGTGTGTGTGTGTATGTGTGTGTGTGTTGTAGTATATGTTATGATGAGTTTATAATCCAATAATACTTCCTATTGATTTTAACAGCTGTTACAATAACTCCTTCGTATAACATGTACAGTACACTTATATGTTATGCGTACACTCATGTGTGCATGTGTACGCACATATAAACACCATACACACACGCGCACATATACACAAACAAGCGCACATATATACACACAGATATATGTAACATCAAATGAATCATTTTCTAATATTTTTATCACTATAAATTGATCCTTTCATAGATGCATTCACAATTAGCATATAACAGCATTATTATAAAATTATCCCCTTCAACGTGTATTTGTGACATTGGATAATTTTTATCAAACAGTGTGATGTGGTCTCGTGAAATAAATCTTAATTTAATTGTATGCGAATGATTTTGTCAGTTTAAAGACTGTTAATGATAATAATAAATAAATTTGCTCATGGGCAGTAGTTGCTTCACAGTTGGATTGAGTCTTCTTAGTGAAGACTTCTCACTGCGATAAATTTACGTATATTATTGCATTATCTATTATTATTATCCTCTGAACTGTCAGCGTACTAACAATGTACATCCAACAATCGTCATCTTCATCTTCCTCATCATCTTTCTTCTCCTTCTCCACGTCATCATCATCGTCGTCGTCGTCACTTCATCACCGTCATCATCACAAAACCATCCTTAACATTAACATCATCCTCTCCTGCATCATCTTACTCGTGACGATCTTTCACTCAAACGCCCTTGACCCAGTGGTCAACGTGGCCCGCGGCAAGCCAACAACTGCCCAATTAACATGCGGTTTTGCCGGCCCAGAAAGATTCATCAGCCACAAGTACACCGGCGTTCAAACTTCTCAGAACGTTGAGACGTGTTACAATGTGAGTTCCTACCCCTCCTCCAACATGGTGGATGGCAACGATGGTACTTGGTGGCAGAGCACCTCCAGAATCAACTTCATCGGCCAGGGCTACGGTGTCAATGGAAAACCAGATGCCTTCATTGAACTTGATTTGAAACAGGTTCGCTCGTTTGGTTTTACTCGAGTCGTGATTTAGATGAACTAATTGAGATTGTTTGTTTCTTTATTTTCCACTAGTAAGTCGAATTATGTTTTAGCAGGTTTCTGAAATAGTTTTTTTTGTTTAATACGTTATTTCACGGTTGCAGGTTTTCAACAGTGCGAATAAGATAATTAAAACAAAATTGCTTAATTAAAACTTATTTTTGTTTTTCATAATGTTTATCAACTAAAGATGCGTTTTAAATAATTTTAAATTAAATTCATTTAATTACTCATAAAAAATAATTTAAATTCCAACTAAAATTTGCGAAACCTCGTACCCAAGATGTTCGAAGTGCAGAGCATGTCACTGCTGTTTGGAGATTCACAGAGGCCTGGCCGGATGGCTTTTTACAAAACTACCGACGCCAACACCATCTACCAGAATGTTATTCATTTGTTTGTTTTGTTATTTAATAATTTATTCCTTCATTTCTCCATTCGCTTCCATTCCAATAACATCCGGTTTTAATCGTTCGTTTATTCACAGTTCGATCACTACATATTTTTAGCCAGGTGCAATTTTGACTACTTTAACTTATAATTTTTGCCATCCAACACAGCGCTACTTACAAAATTTACTTTATAATCAGCACGATGTTCAGTTAACACACTACAAACTGCTTGCGTAAGTTCATTAGCAATCGCACTGACGCGTTTCAAATCAAGTCGAAGAGTAATAAATAAACAATTCATAGTATAATAACTCGCAACACAATGTTGTCTGAGCTATTTTATCGGGAATATCAAAAACTATTTGTTTACAATTGTAAATATTTCTATATTTCAATGTAATAAAATCAATGCTGGAGATAGAGCGTGGGAGGCCCTGGAGAAACGAACTGCAAAAGCCACTACAATTTTTTCAAAGCAACTGTTTTCTTGTTAAATTTAAAAAATTATTCAGTAAGTTTTTCGTTATATATCAAGAAAAACAAAATATCAAGAAAAACCGTAATTGTTGAACCTTTTCTCTTCCGAAGGCTCTTTGGGGCTTGTCCGTCTCAAAATCCGGCACAAATACAATAATAATAATAAATGATTTAACAACGAAACAAATCTCAGTGGTTTTACGTGGTGTCATCTTCATTGGATTGCAAGACGTACTTCAACGTTCCAGTCTTACTGCAGGCCAATGGCATACAGTCAACTCCATGTATGCTCTACACAGCTCCGCCGTCCATCAGCCAAAAGGTTACTTTTGCTGTTTGTTGTTAGGGATTTTGATGTTGTTGTTAGTGTTATTGATGTTGTTGTCGTTGTTGTCGTAGTTGTCGTTGTTGTTGTTGTTACTGTCAGATTAATGCTATCTGTTATTTGATAAAATGAACAGGTCGAATACACGTTCACGAACCTAGTCCCACAAGCTAAGGTTATTATACATTAACCAATATGTATATATATACATATTGGTTATTAATTATTTTGTTGGTGTTGGTTATAACAATTTAGCCAAACTAATTACAAATTTATTATTTTTTTTATATATTTATTTATTTATGAATTTACATTTAAAATTGATCTAAAAATATATCATCATCTATCAATGATAAATTATTATAGCCGTGGGTGAACGTTAGGAAGATAAAGGTTGAATTCTATCAGATAGATCTGACGCTGGGTGTAACCGCTGGCTCAAATGACTTCGTTAGCTAATATATTTCAAGAAACATTTTGTACAATTTTTGATCTGAATGGAATTTATTTAAATTTCATTTGAAAAAAATGAAATTTAATAAAAATTCAAAAGTACCACATATTCTAAAATATTTCTCGAATTTTGAAAAAAAACACAAGTAAACTTAAAAACTTCATACAATTTATTCGGATGAAATAGAAACCCGAATTAAAAATATATTTATAAACATCTTGAAAATAAATTAAAAAATTAATAACTATTTAAACACAAAAATAAAACATAGAAATGCAAACCTCACCTCAACACATCACTGATACAAAACCACCTTACAGCAACACTACACAGTAAGGTCACTGGATGTTTTCGCAAAATGTCCATGCAACGGTCAGCTGACCGATTGCTTGCTGGACAACACAACGAACGAGCAGACGTGCGTCTGTGGCGGTTTCACCGCGGGAAAGTTCTGCGAAGTTTGTCAGCCACTCTACAATAATAAACTCTACGCTTATGGAACGCCATGCGAAAGTTTGAACTTTTTTTTACATGCCTTTTCTGCTGTTGACCGACTGTGCCCAGTTTTTACTTTTTGTTTTACTCTCATTATTAATTGAATCATTGGAAGATCATTGAATTTTCTTGCTTATAAATTTAGTTTTGGTTGGTAATTTTTTCGTACTAACAGTTATAATATTAATCTGGATTCTATTATTTTGGGAAGAAAAGATGTTACTAAAAAATATAATCGGCTGTCTAGCTGTTTCCCGAAAATTAAAGTTAAGACTTTTCATGATTGCAAATATGTCTATAGTTAAGTATATGAAATTTATTCACTGTTTCATTCATTCATTGTGTCGTAAATTAGTCGTAGTCGTAAATTAGTCGTAAATTCAATTATTCACATGTGATTATTTGGTTCAGTTAATTACATGTAATTATTTGAATCAGTTATTCATATTTTTGACAAAAGAAATTAAATTAATTCCCCAGTGTGCAACTGCAACAACCTCGCGACTAGCTGCCATTTCGACGCTGTTCTTAACACTGGCGTCTGCGACAACTGCCAGAACTTCTCGGCCGGTTAGACACGCTTCCTACTGCTGTAATACGTTTTGGCTCTTACTTTTCTAATGTGTTTCGAATGTTAATATGGCTGATGATATTAATAATAATTTTGTAATATATTTTTATTATTCTATAAAATAAATAAATTTAAATCAATGAATTATTTTTTATTCCACTCGAATTTTTTATCAAATAAAAAGAAGAATAATAAAAATATATAATTAATAAAAATAATAAATAATATGAAACCACTACAACAAAAAAAGAAACACAACTAACTCTGATCTACACAAGGGCCAAAATGTGATTCGTGCGTAGACAACTTCTACAAGAGCCTCACTGACGGTAGGTGCATTCCTTGCAGCTGTGCTGGGGACTACGTGAAACCCGGTGGTGGCTGCTACAAAACCGCATCTGACGTCATACCCGCTGGGGTGGGTGCCTCCATTTTTTACCCTACAACAATTTTTTTTATAGTATTTCTTAGAGGGGTTGACAACAACAACAACAAACAACAACAACAACAAACAACAACAATAATGTATCAGATGTAATGAATGTGATAGGCTGGGATCTTTTTGCAGTTGAAACCAGCCATCACATAAGCATCGCCAGGCACCTTAATAATTACACCCTCTCACAGATCGATGTTTTAAATCCAAATAGTTGTAATTAAATTTAAATCTTGATTGATAAATAAATTGTTTTAAAAGAACTACAACAAAGGGTTGAGATAAGTCGTTTCGTTTTAGTCGTTCATTTGTTTTGTCATATACGCGCCTTGGAAAACTGGATGATGAAGAAAATAAAATATAATTATACTAATAAATAATGATAATAATTTTGATGACAATTATGACAAATAATAATGATGATAATAACGTACCCCAGAACCCAAACCCTCAACCTGGGGATTGCTACTGCATGCCCTACATCATTGGACCGAAGTGTGACAGGTGTCAAGATGGGGCCTATGGACTCAGTGCTTCCGGGTGTACAGGTGGTGATGATGGTGATAATGATGTTGATGATGATGATGGTGGAGGTGGTAATGATAGTGATGATGATGACAATGATGATGATAACGATGATGATGATGATTACTCTGACGATGGTGATAGCGATGAGACAACAACCAGTTTCATTTTGAATTTTCAAACACCGACAAACACCAAAAACAATTACTAAACGACGCGGAAATAAACTCAAATAATATTATTAAAAAATAATTAAACCAATTAATAAACTCCAAATTGGATTATTATTTGGATTAATTAGTTAATTAATTAAATTTTTATTAAAAAATATGTTTCCAGATTGTGCTTGTTTAGTTAACGGTACAATAGGCGCATCAATACTTTGTGACAGCGCTGGTCAGTGTGCTTGCAAGACCAATGTGATGGGGGCTCGTTGTGATACCTGCAAGGATGGTTTCTACAACCTTGATGCCTCCAATCCAGATGGTTGGTTGGTTGGTTGATTGGTTGGTTGGTTGGCAGTTGAGGCAGTTGATCGTGGCTTGAGTTGGTTGACTGATTGAGAAATTTGATTGATTTATTTGTCAGTTTATTGATTAATTTTTTGTTAGAAATGTTGGCTGATTGTTAGCGAGTGATTTGGTCATTTATTCTACGAAATAAAACGCGATGTTGTTTATTTTATTTGATAATTTATATTTTAATTAATTGCTAATTATTTGTTCAACTGGTTGAGTATATTGTACTTATAATTTACAGCTTATGTACACGCACTCACACCTACACATACAAACACACTATCACACGCACACAATCTCACACACAGGCTGCACGGCGTGTGGTTGCGACATCGGCGGTTCGACGTCGACCACATGTGACAAGACGAGTGGTCAGTGCACGTGTGAAATTGGCGTTACTGGGAGGCTCTGTGATGGGTTGGCTATTTTGTATCATGTCTATGGTGAGCTGTACTAATATTAAACGTAATTTCGTACAATTTACTCTCAGCCATATCTATCTCATTCACATTTGTTAACAACTCAATTATTTTAGTTATTTTTCAAACAAATTTTCATAAACTTTCAAAATATTAATTCATTAATTACCTTATTTTATTAATTTCTCATCAGACCAGCTGCCGGCTTCTACTATCCAAACCTTCAATTTTTGTCGGCAGAGCTGGAGAGTCTGGATGCACCTTGGGACAAAACGACTTCCGGATACAGTGGTTTTGGCTATGTTGTTCCTATATCTCAGGTATGGTTCTACAACAAAGAGTTTGAGATGATTATGAGAAAAAGAGAGGAAAAGAGAAGAAAAGAGAGTTCTAGAGAGGAAATACGAAGGGGAGAGGAAGAGAGAGATTGAGAGACAGAAAGAGAGGGGGAGAGAGAGAAGCCTTATCTTTTCTTTTTTGCATCGTTATATTTTATAAATTAATTTGTTATGTTATATTTAAATTACTGTTTTATTAAATAAAATTTTGTTTGTTTTTGTTTTTTTGTTACAATCTAGCTGTAAAATCAAGCAGATTTAAATTAATCGACAATAATATTCGATCGAATATTCAACCGAATAGATCCCGGTATCGGCGAATATTGACCTGACATCCCTGGTCTCCAGTGACCTCAACACGTTCAAACTGATGCTCAGGTGCATGGCCTCTGCTCCTGTTAATGGAGTGCTGGGAGTTGGACAGAGTGAGTAATGGTGATAATGTTTTT